TGAGCGCTTCAACTTCGCTTTATTTCTCACCCCAGACACTGACCGTCAGGGCTGGACGATAAATCAGTAGCAATATATGTCGCGATCGACACGTAATCAATATCAGCAGATAACTTGTCGGGTAGAGTACTCAATAATGTCACTGAACTCCGAGCGAGAGCCACACAGCATTCTGGGGGATGTAGGCAGAGGAAAGGATTTAACCAACATCGCAAAGTTGGTGGCGTCAACTAACTCACTCGCTTATTGGTTACCTAGCAACTACCTGCTGAGTAACTCGCACAGCAGCAGTCTCAGGTTTTTCCACCGTCCTTCACAACCGCTTGAAAGTAGGGATGCATCGATCCGATATAAAGGTCTGAATTGTAATATCGATATTGAAAAAAATTCTTACTAAATTACCTAAATTCTTGCTTTATTATTTATTCTACATTATGGGATTACTAACTGCATTTTTGAGCCATTCGCAAGCTTTGCTGCAGTTGATTTTAGCATGTTTGACTTTGACAGTGAGTCTTTTGTTTTTGTCAGTTTCAGTTTCTCTATTATTACTATTATTACAGCCGTATCATCCAGCCCCACTGACAATAAACTGCGCCGACAACAGAATCATTTGCGTACGTTTTCCCGACAGCCCTGGAGCCCAGAATCCTGACCAGATGGGAGATGCAGAAATACGCCCGGGAAGCGTACAACGCCGGCATTCGTTATATCGGCGGGTGCTGCGGGTTTGAGCCCTACCACATCCGTGCTGTTTCCGAAGAGCTGGAACTTGAGCGGGGTTTCCTTCCCGCCGGCTCTGAGAAGCACGGCAAATGGGGCACCGGCTTGGAGCTGCATACCAAGCCCTGGGTCAGAGCCAGGTAGATCATTCTCTAAAGTATTACGTCTTGAATCCTTTCCCTTTTGGGAATAACGTGTAAACTAATGGGATGCGGTCCTGTGTGTAGGGCCCGCCGGGACTACTGGGAGAAACTGCAGCCCGCCTCTGGGCGGCCATTTTGTCCTTCAATGTCCAAACCCGACAACTGGGGTGTCACCAAGGGACACGCCGACCTTATGCAACAGAAAGAGGCCACCTCCAAGGAGCAGCTGAAGGTTCTCTTTGACAAGGCCACCCAAAATGCCTGAGCCACCCTCTCAACCCCCCTGCACCGGACACCCCAAAATAAATCCTCCTCCGAATGAAGGCAGAAAATGAGTGACATTCCCTCAAACTTCAGAAACAGAAACTGCCTAATCTAACCCCAACTGCGAGGATCTTTTAGCACTCAACAGGCAGTCTTAGTCAGATCATAAACCACGTCAAGTTACTGTACTGCAGGCTTCAAACTGGTGCCATAACACTCCAAAAGTGTCTGATGTTGTGTGAAACAATAAATGAACAAATAAAGCAAGTGAACCAAATCTGCATGTGTGGGTTGGTGTTTGTAAGAAACAGCAGAGGAAATGCTTTTTTTTTTCACCTAATCATTTCATAGTTTAAGCAAATGATAGAGGTTTTCAAAATACCTAAAAATCCCTTTAAGATTCCTATTTACAATAACTAATGTGCAAATGATTTATTCATTGTGAAAGTGAAAGCAAGTCGACTTTCAACACAACAGTAACAACCCAGTTTAAGCTTTTGCCTCCCTTGTAAATGTCTCCATGTTCCCGAGTCTTTTTAACATTTGGCCTTTTTGGAACCACAAACTTAGATGTGTTTTATTGGAACTGAATGTTACAGACCGACACAAAGTAGCACACAATTGTGAAGTGGAATAAAAGACCCTCGTGGCTTTCAAGTTTTTTGGGTTTTTTTTTCTTCTTCTTCTTTTAAATAAAAATTTCAAAACTGTGATGTGCGTTTATGCCCAGCGCCCCTGTCCCCGGGGTTCTAATTATTTGGGGATCGAAAACTTTATGGCCTCTTCTCCAAAACTCCCTGTAGCAAATCTGTGTAACCTTCAAAGAGCAGCTGAAATAAATTACACACATGTGGACTCTATTTACCAACAGCGTGTTGTTTGGAGTGGATTTTCTTTGAAGGTAGACTAAATTACACCAAATTCAAAAGACACACTTTTTTTTTAGAGTTTTTTTACTTGTAAAAAAAAAGCCATTTTCTGTACACTTTACAATTGCCTACTTTGTGTGAATCTATCAGATAAAATCCCAATAAATTAAATCAGTTGTGTCCAATGTTCCCTCTAATTTTTCATGTGTCTGGGCGTACACACAAGCTTCCTGGGCACACTGAGGACCACTGTGAGCATCATCTGTGTACACTGCGTGGCCACGCACAAGTATCATAAATCTGGGATCATAGAAAGTTGCATGGCTTATTTAAAAAATCTAATTACATCAGCAATTTTCATTCGTTTGCTTTTAATTTAAGTGATTTGCTCAATTAAAATAAAAAAAAAGAAAAGAAAACATTGCTGTTCATGAGATGCATGCTATAAGTAAGAGTCCTGCTTCAGCCAGGGTGAGAAATGAGACATTACACCTTTCAGACATAAATGTTTGTTAAGATTAAAACATTCACATTTTGCACAATGAAATGTTTCTGTAGCTTGTGATGCAGTATAAATTCTTGTAAAATATTTAATTACAGTTTTTTTCACGTCTGCCCTTCTCACTTCTCCAGTGGTTGTTCACTTAGCCCAGGTTGATGGTCAGTCTGCTTCTTGCTTTATGTACTTGAATTCAGCATATTGACTGTTAATGGCCTCCATAATCTGTGGGTGGAGGAGAATGGCCTCATACTTCTTTGCCAGTGTACAAATGTCTGCTTATCCATAGTCAAAAGTCTGAACTCAACATTTCAATATCAAATGCAGACCATTCCTTTCATTTGATTTGATTCCATTTGATCTTAGAAGAAGTGCACTTCTTTTTTTTTTACTTTGGCTTGGTGAGTGGATGTCCCACGTAGACATGATAAGGTGATGGCTTTCACGTTTCTTAACTCTACCGCACTATTCTCACCTGCACGGCGCATATGACCAAGGTACGTAACCCATGTACACACAGCCAATCAGCGTGCGCTGATTGGCTGCGTAGCGAAAGTGAACCGTATCGTATCATTGGCTGGATTCCTGTCACTCACTGTGTTCGATCGCAAAGTACGGAAAAAAAAAAATTTTATTGGTCCATAGTCAAAATTGATGTCTGAGCTCAATGTCCACTTTACGTTGGACTTTATTTTATGCGCTACATAGATTTTATTGTGCGCTGAGAATATGCGAGAAGTGCGCGATTGCGCAGGCGCACAGCTTAGAGGGAACATTGGTTGTGTCCCAAGATTTTTAGAATGAAGGCCCAAAATTGTGAAGTTCAAAGCAAATGGTGGCAACAATATATGCATATATATTTTTGGATAAAATATATATACAAAATATATTTCAAACTAAAATTGTTGCTTTTTAAAAATGATTTTATTGGCTCAAGAAACTTGGGAGATTTCAGTGAAACGGACAACGTAGCGATATCTTAGTAGAAAAGTGATCTGTCGATTTTTGTATGCCCAAAACGTAAACGGTATCTCTCACTACTCTGGACTCTTATTTTCCACCTGGACAGTTTTAAGAAGAAGTGGGTGGAAAAAGGTCGATCTTGTTTTTGCGTTGACATTAAAACCCTACATGAGGTCCCATGCCAGAGTTACAGTGTACAACATCTATGTGTAAAATCCCCTTTTTCCAAAAAGGGAGCAAGCTGGGATGCTCTATCTGTACGTGGGCATGTTTTAAACCTCGACTGTCCTGAGGGAGATTTTGATTTCCTGTTTATTCCTGCAGAGTTCTGGGTCTGCAAGTAACATGACATGAAGTGTTTTCCTACTAAAATACTTTTTTTTTTTTTTTTTTTTTTTTTTGCTGGAAAACACGCTATCTTTTCCCCCACTTTGTCTCCAAACACATTTCACCTCATGGAAACAACTTGAGTTTTTCCACTCACACACTCAGATAATCAGTTTATCTTCAGTCAAGGCACTCAGACATATATTGAGTAAAAATGTAAAATGGTCAGATATTTAAAAATACAATTAAAAAATGAAAAAATTAGACAGCAATATGACAGTTTTACATCATTACAGCATTTTATTTCCCAACAATGCAATCCTTTATACAATAAATATTGTATTGTACACATAAAATAAGGAACAACAAACAGGTCAGAAAGCAACTAAAACCACAGTAATAATAAAACTCTCACATTTGACTTTTGCTGAAACGTCGTCAAAAAAGGTCTTCTGAGCCACTCTGCTTGCCATACACAGTTTTTTTTTTTTTTTGGCCTACAAGTACGTGCTGTACGTGGTTGCGTCACGGATTTGCCCACGTGTAGATGTTTATGCTCCTCGTGCACGTCGACTGAAGGAGAAAAAGAGGTTTAAGAAAATCCCAGTGGGATTGAGGCATGTGAAAGAATACGTAGGTAAATTACATAAAATAATATAGCAAATGTTGTCAGCATTTGTTGTGTAATCTTTGTTAAATATTCAATTAAGCACAAATAAGAAAGGCAAAACATATGATGCCTTCATGGAACATGGGATAGCCCCAAACAGTGGTAGAAAGTGTATTCCACGCCTTTGAATAAAACCTATCTGTTTACCCTATTTAGTGTTAATCTATGTAAGAGCTACGGTGCATTTGAGTTCATCAAAATGAGTAGGTAATGGTCATTTATTTTCTCTGACAGAGAAATAGGCTCGCTGGTCCGAAAAACATTCTCAGCTGGGAGTAGGATACATGTCAAGATGCAAAACATAAGATGAGAAACTAAAATAGGGTTAGACAATTCTAAAAGATCCATAGAAAAAAAGTGAGTAAAAAAAACATTTCTAAATTGCCAGTATGCGCTTCGTATTTGAAGATACATTTTTAAAAGTAAATGTGTTTTTTCCCGATGGAATCGTGGACACTGAACACAGCATGCGGAGAGTGTAAGTCCCTCCCCGGATTTGACAAAACGCGCACGCACCTTGTGCTTGTAAACAGAAGCTCACACGTGACGCGGAGAGCGGAGCCGAGTCGCGCGACGCGTATTGTCTGAACGGACAAAGAAGCGCACTGTGAGCGCGAGCTTCGGCCAGGTGAGCGGCCAGGTGTTATGGCAACCGGCGTCATGTGCGGCAACACGAAGTCGAGTTCTCGCTCGTTTCGAGAGCGAGGCGTGGGAACGCGTTTGGCCGCCTGAACTTGATGTCTGGACCGCAAATCCTCGAGAACGTCGCTGACCGCGTTTTCGCTGCGCTCACGCACACAGCTGGCTCCCCCAAACTGGAGAGCCTTTGTTGTTCCAGCGCTACATCTCGCCGATAGGGATTTTTTCCCCCCTCCACCCTCTGTCGCTGTCGTCAACTAGCAGTAGCCTTTAGCCTCGGCGTCGGAGCAAATTCATTTCCGAAACGAGCGCAATCTGCGCATTCGGCGACCGGATGCGATGTCATTCGCCATGGAGGATCATTTGGAGTCCGGTTGGGTGTCGGTCCGACCCCGAGTGTTCGACGAGAAAGAGAGGCATAAATTTGTTTTCATCGTGGCCTGGAACGACGTCGAGGGAAAGTTCGCCATAACCTGCCACAACAGAACCGTCCAGAGACGGAGCGCTTTTCTGGACTTGGATTGTGGCCCCGCGGCTGCCCTTCCTGTCCCCGCTGCTGAAAGTCCGGCCAAAGCGAAGAAAGACGAAGCCTGTAAAGCTGGTAAAGTTAGACCGCACTCAGCAAACCCCAGAGACAAAAAGACCGCAAAAGATGATGCCTCGAAGGCGTTCGAGTGCGTCAGCCTCACGTTGGGCTCCTGGAACATTGTCACGCCGAAGGAGGTGGACATGGAGATCCTGGACGTCCCTTCGTCTCCCGAGGACGCAGACCCGGGAGACGGTGAGCTCAGCCTCCGCGAGGACTTCAGCTGGGCCGGCCTCTTCTCCTTCCAGGACCTGCGGGCGGCCCATCAGCAGCTGTGCGCCGTCAACTCGGACCTGGAGCCCTGTCTGCCGCTGTTCCCGGAGGAGCAGTCCGGCGTGTGGACGGTGCTGTTCGGCGCGCCGGGGATGTCGCAGCGGGAGACGGACGCGCTGTGCTACCAGCTGCAGGTGTACCTGGGTCACGCCCTGGACACCTGCGGCTGGAAGATCCTCTCCCAGGTGCTTTTCTCCGAGGGCGACGACTCGGAGGAGTACTACGAGAGCCTGAGCGAGCTGCGGCAGAAAGGCTACGAGGATGCGCTGGAGGCGGCCAAAAGGCGCATGCAGGAGGTAAAGGAATTATTTTTCCCTCATAGTTTTTAATCTTAATAATAATAATAATAAAAAGCACACACACGTCATCATCATTAAAGGTGATTTAATTATGTCAAAACTCATACATATGCCGTTTATTGTCAGTGCTTGCAAGATATCCGGACACCCACCCTCACCCCACCCCCCCTTGCACGGTCTATCATCTGTTGCAGCAGCACACACACACACACACACACACACACACACACACACACACACCCACACACACACACACGGAGCAGCAGTAACATGATCTGCTCCGGCCCAGACTGCCCACTCCAGTTGGCTGAATCGCAACAAGGAAGTCGCATAGAAACACGGGGCGAACAAACGGAGGTGGAGTTACGCAGGGACGCGTCACCCACCGCGACTGTCGGCTCCGTCTTCGCCGCGAACCCGTGTGACTTAAAAACACGCGGCGTTCGTAAATTCAGAGTCGGCGAAGACTTTGTGGGCGACGTTGGCCTGGGAACGTCTCAGACAGGACGCTCGCCTTGGACAATGTGCTTCAGATCTGGTTATATGCAGTTATTCTGTCGACTTCTTAACATTTGTATGTTTTACACTAGGGCTGAAGCGACTAATTCGATTAATCGTGATGACTCCATCATTGAGATAATCGTCCACGAATTCAGGCATCAATTAATTCAGAACTGGAGGAGGCAGACTGAATGTGCTGAAAGAACTGCATGCTCAAAGCTTTAATTAAATCAAAGTGGTGTAAAAGTACACAAACATTTTCCATTTAATCAAAAAAAAAAATTTGCCTTTAAAAAATGTTCTTCACAGAATTCTTCAAGTAGCATAGATCTATCTATCTATCTATCTATCTATCTATCTATCTATCTATCTATCTATCTATCTATCTATCTATCTATCTATCTATCTATCTATCTATCTATCTATCTATCTATCTATCTATCTATCTATCTATCTATCTATCTATCTATCTATCTATCTATCTATCTATCTATCTATCTGATTAGCCCTATGTTGTACAGTTTTTCACATATTGAAGTAAGAAATATTTTTTAGTTGGAAACGAATCCTTTGCTTGAAATAATCAAACGTAGACTAAACGAATACGGTTTTTGTCTGTAATAGTGTTTTTCTTATTTTTAAAAAAGGAATTGAATTGCTTATTTTGATCTTTTAAAGTATTTAATATTGCATTTTAAGAAAATCACACAGTCATAATATTCAAGCAAATACTTTTTAAAAAATATTTTGAATGTGACAAACTTAAAAGTCACAAGCACGAGAAGCTGCAAATCCTCCGCCACGTTTCTCGCGTCCATTCCAAGGACGGGGAATACGTATGCACGCCACACTTTTCAGATTAAAGACCTTCCTTTTCACAATTATCTACCTGGTTGCATTGGTTTACACAGCGACCAAAACGTGATTAACTAGGTTTCTGCTTGTACCAGAACAAAATGTGAAGTAGTTTTACAAGTGCCTGTGGAAGCCAGGTGACAAACCCAGTTATAAAGATGGTCCTTGGGGGGTAGAGATGGAGGTGTGTGGGGGGCAGAAATGAAGCCAACTGCAAGTCTTTCATCATCCTGGCTTTGTTCAACTGTTTGATTCACAAACAGCTGTGTGAGGGCTCAGCCAGGCCCAAAATAACCCACGAGATGACAAAGCGACTCACTTTTAGGTTTATGTGCGACACCACTTCTCTGACAGACGTTTTTTTATAGAGCAGACTGTGAAAAAAAAACAACTTGATTTATTAGGTCATTTTCTGTGATGGGCTTAACCTGCATTAAGAAGCAGACGGTTCCTTTTGAGTGTGCGACATCTGCAGCTGTTTTTCAGTGGCCTTTTTGTTAGAAAATGACCAAAAAGTGGAAATTTGAGATGAATCACATTTGTTGTGGTGTTGTCCTCGTTCCTCGATCTCATGATGTGTGGTGCGAGTTCTCTTGGGAACTCCTATATTTGGATTTTTTTTTTTTTAACCTCACACCCGTTTGGTCATCAGAGAGATGACCTCTGATTAGACGTAGGAATGTACTGACACAAGCATTTTGCGCTGACATTGATATCCGGTAACATGTTACGGCTTATTGAAATGTTACTGTTTATGCAATGTTCTTCAAAGAGTCATTGGAGGGCACGAAGGGTTTCCTGTAGCGGTCTGAATTACAGCGGTTCTGAAACAGCCTCTGACTGAACACAGTTTGTCATAACGGTTTTATAAGTGCTGCTGTTCTTAATTTAGTCATTAATGGCAACAAGAAGGAAATTAACATCTGTCATTGATATTCTTCCCTGGTTTACCTATTGGACTAATGTGTTAAAAATGAATAACCTTGAACCTTATGTTTCAGGTTGAATTTCTAATGTATGATATGTATTAAATTTGTAACTAACAAATTTAAGTGCAGATTGAACAGACAGTATCTGATAGATGTGGTACACTTTTTGGAAATTCTCTTCTTTTAATGTATATAAATTCAGTTTTTAAAGTGATTTTTAAAGGGGCAGCATAATGTATTTTCCAGGCACATTTTATAGCACAATCAATTAACTACGCTACCTTTGGTGGTTGTATAAATCAAATATGACTTTGTCATTTAATTTCTTGAAACTGTGCCTCTGTCTCTTTAAGAAACTCCTGCTCTTTCTGAAACTCTGACTTCAGGAAGTCGTGACAACATGGCTCCTCTATTAAACCTTTAATGTCTTTTTAGCAGGATTTCACTGAGAAGTAATATGTGCAATTAGCTCAGCAGATGTGCATTTCCAACAGGTGTTTGCTAATTGCTGCTGGCTAGTCTGAAGGAGCTGAGCAGCAAGCTTCCTCTCTGCCTGTCGTCGGAGGAGTTTCATCCTCAAAGGCGGAGCTAGGCCCACCCAGGTGATTTGCATAGGAGACTAAAGAATTTCTCAGAAATGCATGAAAGACACGAGGCAACACTCGATGTTGCTTTAATGTTGGGGTAACATCAAAACATGTAAAGCTAGTAAAAGTCCATTTTTACATGATGCTACTTTTAAGTAGGCGATCCATTAGATGCTGCCTTCTATTATTACACGAGTGTCTTTATCCTCGATGGTTTCCATCATCAGCACAATACAACAGTTAAGCGAATCTCAGCAACAGCAGAGATAATATTTACTCTATTGTATTGGCTTGTACATGTTTCTCTGTGTTCCAGGTCAGTCAGTCCGTTCCTGGTAAACGCTTACTGTATGCGGTGCGAGGTTGTTCTGACCCGGTGCCGCTGCTGTGAAGGGGCTAATCCTGTTGGGACAGGATAAGAAAGAGGACAGACTGATTTACTTTGGTTAAACTAAGCTGCTGGTTGATGTCCATACATTTAGCCTCCAAAATCAATGTGCAGTTTTCCAGCTTTATTAGATAATGATTATAATTTGCAATATAAATCGTGACACATTCTGGTTATGCATTAGGGGAAAATACAGAATATTTCCTGCTAAAATGTTTTTACTTTCTATTTAAAGCAACACTAGCTTTCCCCTGATTGGCTAGTTACCCCAGAGCAGCTGCAGACTTAAAATGCTTTTGCTATTTTTACAAAACCGCTGCGCTGTCTGGTCTTATCACCATCACACTGACAGACCCTGTCAGTGTCCAGACCTTGCTCTCTCAGATATCCGGGACAAGATGGACCGGTGGCCTGGAACCACGCATCCTCTCCATGTATCTGTTGATCATTGACCGGAGTCACTTTGGCCGTTTTCCCTTATTGCCGACCTGTTACTAAAGAAACCCAGACCTACAGCTTATCAGCAGCGCTAATAGTTACAGATTAATAGCTTATTCAGATCTTTATGGTTTTTATGTAGTGCCAAAAATGTGATAATGTAGTCTTATAAACTAAACTTTATTAGTTGTTTTAGATACAGATCATAGACTCGCAAAGTACTGCATATGAAGAGTAAAGGACTTTGTTGCATTGCACCAGGGCTACAGGACAATATGAATCAAGAGCTAAAATCTTTAAGTCAGTATTGTATCATAAAATACAATACGTTTTCGAGTTGGAGAGGATTTCAGTTTTACAGCATTTCAAATTTGTCTCGATCTAATCCCTAATTGTCATTAATTCATAAATGTCTGAACGTCTGTCTCCTGAGTGAAGGTCTGGTCTTGCGTTTTGTAAAATGATACAGCCACTTACCGTGACCTTTTGTTCACTAACGTCACTTTGGAGAAATGTGGGTGTGTTTTATTCTGTCAGACTTGCTCTCAATTTTATATGCACCACACAGTTTATTTAGATTTTGCCTATTGGGCATGTAGCATTTTCCTTACCCATACAGTGTTCAGCTCAGCTCTTCATAGAGTTGAAATTTAATTATAATTCCTACATTTTTGTTTCCCTTGTTAAAACAAGCCATGCTGTAATCTCTGGGTGATTTAAAATGATGAATTTTGCAATATGGTCTCCAGTTGGTTGAAGAAAGAATCAAACAGTCCTAGTTTGGCTCTACTGCTGCGTGGCTTTTGTTTTCATATCCTCGCACAGGGCTTTCAGAACATCCTAAAATTTATATGATTTATTGAGTTGTGTTTATGTGGCCTAGCTCCTTGCTTCCTCCCTACAGCTTGTTAACTTTACAGAGATGAGCAGCGGCCGTTCTCCAACTTTCCTTCTTAAATTAGGAACCCACTTACACCCAACATTTCCAAAAGCCATTTTAGGACGTTGATTCTTTGTAAGTAATTTAATTGCCTAGTGTTATGAGTTTCCAATTGGAAATACATCTCCTTTTCCTTTTCCTTTTCAAACATTCGCATAAATCGACTAACTATATTTTTGTGCAGGTAGTGCGTATACGTGTTACTTCAGCGGTGACAAACGTTGCATTTAATGTCTTTCAGGAAGCATTCCTTCTGTGAGGGGGCCTGATCACAGCCTGCATGAAAGAAAGTGAAGGCCCTCTCTTTCCTGTGTTGTATTTCAATTAAAAGGCACGAAGAGAAGAAAACTACTGCGGCGTAAGACGGGACAGATTTATGGCCGACAGGAACCGGTCTTAATGATAGGGTCTGTAGCTCCAGTATATCACCAAGAGGAAGATCTTCTAATTACGTCCTCCGCGCTTTTGCAGAGGACTTTTGTTGCCTTCAATGCTAAACTTAGCTTGTAAAAGTGTACCTTCGTAAAAGTGCTTTTAAAACACGAATCCAAACCTGCCGGCTAACTTGTTGCTAGTGAGCCTCATTAGCTTTGAGCTCACGAGCTTTGAGTTGGCTGATGATGCTTTTATTTTTTTTTTTTTTACCCCTGGTTTTGTAGGCTTCATGTCTCTATTAGTACATGCCGTTGAAGTGCAGGGTGGAACAATAACTTATTCATCATTTTTCCAGTCCTTGAACTCATATTTCATATTGATCCTAAATGATGTAGTAACACTTTAAAAGTAGACTCTTTTTTTTCCAAATCCTATCCTGTGTGACTTGGCTCATTTACCTCAGGGGGGATGGGTTGGGGGGGCGGGGGGTGTTTCCTGGCCAGCGGGGTGTGGGGTTGGTCAGCGGTTGCCAGGGAAACCCAGGGGCAAGGTAAACAGTAGGGTCAGTGTTGGAGCTGAATCGGGCTGTGTAGACGGGCTTTGGAAAATCAGCTCAGAGTTGATATAAAAGTCGTCATTCATATCTGCGGCAGATAGAGGAGCGGTTTATTCGCCACTTGAGGCCATTATTGGACGGCGGTGCTTTCAGCGTCACGTCTGAGGCAGAAGTAGAGGAGATGTGTTACGCAGCTTGAGTCAAACAAGAGAGCTCTAAACAAAAGCTCGACTTAGAGCCATTTTTAAGAACAATGAACAGTCTGTGGATTGTTGAGCATATGGTACGAATCAGTAGCAGTCAGGATCAGTCCTTTTTTTGTTTGTTTTTTACCCAACAATGTGTTTTGTGATATCATTCCTGGCCACACATTAATGAGCATGCACTAACAAATCCTCCCAGGCTGAGTCTTTGTGCTTGTTGAGAGGTTTTGATTATTTTTTTTTTCCTCCTTGCCTTGAGCTTTGAGGTAACCAATGTTTCAGACTGCATTTAGTTCAAACTGGATCCAATTTAAAATTAAGTTTTAAATGGTAGTAAATAAAAAAAATAGGGTTAGGGTTTATCTGTCATAAAATAGTGAATTAAAGTGGGTAGAAAAATACAAACTCCGAAGAACTTAGAACAAAGTAAGGTAAACAACCCTATGAACACATAACTTGTTAAAAATTGATGCTTTTAACTACGGTAACTTAAAGCTACAGTATTAAACTTTTATAAAAAAAAAGTATTTTTATATATAGATTTGTTCAAATGATTATTCCTGTAACATGAAACTAATTGCAAAAATACTCTACTCGGTCAGAAACGGCCAATCAGAGCCAGGAGGAGGGTCTTAGTGTTGTCAATCACTTTCATGCCCACCCTGCTGCATATTACAGCTTTAATCTAATTCCTCAGCTATAAGGTTGGAATGCAACTCTAATAGAGTTTGATCACAAATCAGTTTGTTTTCTCTGAAATGGAAAGGTGGTTTGATTAGGGAAGCATGATATGTCTGCATCTACATCGGTACTAACTGATGTTCATAATTTTTTAACGTATCGGTATGGGCCCGATAAGTAGAGCTGGGTTGATATTAATAACAAATGTTTACGTCCATTTTTTTGGTGTTCGTGTTTCAGGAGAGGGAGGGACTTGGTCATGTGACAGTGGATCGCAATCGACCTTTGTAGTCTTGTTACCTTTGACTACAAGAACGTTAGCTCTAGTGCCAGCAAGCTTTATGCTCCACGTTTTGTTGTCTTCGGCTCGTTTAATCCATCAATTTGCCACTGGCAATACAATAATTTTGTAAATAATTTTCAGTATTTGTTTGTGGAACAAAACCATTTCAAGAAACTGCTTTATGTTTACAAGTAATTTACAAAACGACTCGTAAAAAGATCATATTGGAAAACTCCACTTTCCTGCTTACAAATCCTACAAATCTTTAAGTTAGTAGTCTACTATGGTTAAATTAAACTCTGCTGGGTAAGTCCCCAAAACCCCCTTTAACTCTGTAGCCCATGGCCCACATCCTCCTAAATCCGGCCCTGGTGTTGAGGATTTCACGAGAGAAAACATCTTTATTAAAGATAATGAAGTGTTAGCACACATTGAACCCTGAAACGACGGCCTGCGTTGCAGGACGATGTAGAAACCATCATGTGACACATTATTAATTATTAATGTTATCAAGTGAGTCTGAAGTAATGACTTCAGTTACAGTAATCAAGAAATGCAGTTTACATGTCAGTGTATTAATCAGAGTAAAGGCTGAGTAAACATGTTTGTCCTACAGCCACTAATGCAGCTCAGATGATCACTAAGAGGGCAGCGAGTTTCAGCACTATATATAGTTCAGAAAATGTCTGGATTGGGAACGTGGTCAGATGAAATCTAGGGGAATAATAGTCCAGAATGTGTAGTAATTAGTGGTCCTGGTTCATGTGTAAACCCCTTGTATATGAAGCAGGCGAGTGAGAAATTTACGCTTTCCTCCAAACGTGGACTTCAGCTTCACGTTCTACATCGAAGGAATATGAAAAATCTGTTGTTTAAGCAAACTTTATTGAGCACACGTATAAATAAAGGCACATTTTCCGTACCCTTGTGTCTGAACAAAAAATAACAGTAAAAACATTTGATAATGACAAAAATAAAGAATAAAGTCAGCTATGTATTCTACAACTGTAGAAAACATTATGAGAATAAAGTCATACAGGAATAATGACGCAGTAATAAAGTTGAAATGATGGCAATGAAGTCATAGTATTATGGGAATAAAGTCTTCTTATGACTTTATTCTTGAAATATTACTTTTCTTACATCATAATGGCTTTATTCTTATTATTCCCGTACGACTTTATTCTTGTAATGATGTTGTTGTTTTTGTTTATAATGCTATGACTTTATTCTTGTAATTTTGTAATCATTTCGTTTTCCTTAGTGTAACCCTAATACTCCATTGTCGGAACTTGATTGTAAACTTTTTTAAAAATGACTTATTTTAAGCCTGCTTGCATAACTTGTTGCTCTGACTTTGGTGTGAGGCATCAGCTTGAGAACATGACCAAGAGAACCACTTTTCAAGCCTCCGCCCTGTGTGCTTTGCCCCAGGTGTTGGACAAGCACAAGGCCATGGACAGCATGGTGGAGCTGCTGCAAGTGTACCCCGAGGAGGACGAGGCGTACGGCGAGCTGCTCGAGGCGACGACTCAGCTGTACCACTACCTGCTGCAGCCCTTCAGGGACATCAGGGAAGTGGCAACGCTGCGGCGGCAGCAAATTAAGGTAATTCTGCACACAGGCACACGAAAACAAATGCCCATCTGTTTTTAGAGCTTGTTTTAAGCAGGTTTAGACCTCCATGTAGCCGGATTACTCACTTGCCCTTGAAGACAATTTGCCTCCCGTCGGACGAACCTTCATAAATCGGTGGACCACTAACCCTAACCCACATGGCAAAAAAAAACGGGGTTCTGTGGTTTTGGTTAGCAAAACCACAGAACCACAGAAAAAAACCACAGAACCCCACTCCACTCATAAGCCCACTGCCATCACATTACTGGTACATGCTGAGGCTTATGAAGCTGCCGTGGTAATGATGTAGACGATGGCAGGATGGAGGGTAGAGGATCAGCTAGAGAGGCTTTTTTCCCCCTTGCCTAGAGCAGATTAACCACCAGTCTAAGTATTATTACAGCGGCCACTAAACCACTCTAATTCTGCAGCCTCAGCACTCTTTCTCTACTCTCGTTGTTGCCTTTCTTCAACAGAGGCTTGAAAAGAGAATCTAGTAAACTTCAGAGGTGATCCTTGATAAAACCTGTCCTGTTGGTTAGTAGGTCAACGCCATATTTCTGGACAATTGTTAAACAGCTGCAAAACTGATCTGTGCTGAATTTAATTTTGAACTTTACATATTAGTATCTCTCAAATAAGTGACAGAAGAACAAAAGCATACTTTTTCCCATTCCATTCGGTTTCAGTTCAAATTTATTTGTATAGCAACAGGGCAGGTAGGTCTATAGCATAAAAACACCCGATAGTCATCCATTGTTAAACAAGCAACAAACATTAAATTTAAAACCATCGATGCACATCAAATATGTTGATCAATGTTTCACTCACTACTATTCGAACGTAACTCTAAACAGGTGGGTTTTAACCTTTACTTTAACTTTCCCACGGTCTTAAGAAATGTGGCCATTTGGACCCCATGAGTTTTTTACTCTGTGGTCCAAAGAGGTCACACTGACCATATGTGTGCTTTTATAAGCTTTCTTTTTTTTTTTTTTTGCGTGGTTCTGGGAACTGACGGTCTAACAGGACAATCTCCCTCCCAACCTTTTTCCCCGCTGTCCAACCGTGGCATTTGCCGCGCTCCTTCCTGAGCGTCGGATTAAAGGAGCTGTGTTTCAGCTGTTTTCTGGTTGCTTGTCTATGTTTGGTTCTGGGGATGCAGAGTGGACTAGAACCAGAACACCAGAGTGGTCGGTCATGTTGATACAACATCAGATCTTTAATGTGTTTTGGTGCAATGTCGTTAAATGATTTAAAAACTCACAAGCATATTTTAAAGTCTATTCTCTGAGCTACAGGGAGCCAATGTCATGATGCGCTCTACTATCGCTCATCATTAGGTCCATATATTCTATTGCAACTACGCAAAGAGATGATTTCCTGCTTTGGGAAACTTACTGATGCATAATTCACATACATAGCATACGAGGGAATGTGCTTTTTGAAGACAAATAATGTTTTTTCTGCTGCCTCAGCTTTATGTCAATGTTTAGGCTTTCACAATTTCTCACTATGGCTGCCAACAACCCTTAGCTCATTAAGTTGGCTGCTATAACCACTATGGTCAGCTCCAGATGGAAGGAGTCCTTTTCTCAAGTCCAGTGGAGACTTGCAGTCTTGTGTTAAAATTTAACACATCTACTTTAGGGACTCTACCCTAAAGTGGCCGGTGTGACTAGAAAACCGCTCACTATGGCCAGTCCATTCACTAGAAAGTTTTCAAGAGACTTTTAACTGAGACAGTTCAAGCTTCAATTCAAGCAGTATGGATTCTTGGTCATTTAGGACGTGATAATCATAAATGAAGCCTTTGTCCTGTAAGCTGATGCAATTTTTTTTTTTAGATTTTATATTAAAATAGCCAAAAAGATGCTGTGTATGGGTATATTTTTATTTTGGCACTACAGAGAAACCTAAAACTCGGGAGTCTTTGTTGGTGGTTTAAATTGTTTTGTTAGTTTTTTCTCAATGTACCTCAAACCTTGTGAAAATGCTCCTGTGCAATTTAGTTTTGGTAAGAGACTAGTTAGTTTGTCTGTAAATGAGCAGTGATCAATAAAATTTCCTCTTTTTTCTTTAGCTTTGCATCATGTTATAAAGTTATTCCCTCAACAAAACATACCCGGAGTGTTGCTTTAATTATTTCATGCATGTTTGTGAAATGCTTTCAACCATTGGGAGAGGGGGAGCTAGGACCGCCTTCCTGGATGCAGCTGCTCCTCTGTTCTGCAGTCTCCAAACTTCAGAGCTTCCACCTCACAGAGCGAGACTCCTCCACTCAGCTCCTTAAGACTAGCCAGCAGCAATTAGCAAACAATTAGAACTAGGCATCAGCTGAGCTCATTGTAGGAGCTGCTTCTCTGAAATACTGGTAAATACGTTGTTAAAGTTTTAATAAAGGAGCCATGTTGTGATGACTTTCTGAAGGTGGAGCTTCAGAAAGAGCAGGAGTTTCTTAAAGAGACAGAAGTCCAATTTCAAGGCCTTATTTTACAATGTCATGTTTCTTTAAAGTCACATTTGACCAAAATCCGTTTTTCTACTTGTTTTCTATAACAACTTAAGGGAACATAGTTACTTGATTGTGCTTTAAAATGCCACTTTGTGACATAATAGAGCCCCTTCATAATATGAAAAATTTAATAATTAAAGGAAATTTTTGTTGTTGTTAATTTAGTAGCATGGACAGCAATGCGCAATATTTTTCACGTATATTTGAGAGCGCCGCCTCATTCGGTTAAAACGAGCTTGGATTGTTTCACAGGTATTCTTCGGTGCTTTTCAATAAAATAAGATTGAAGCATCGAAGGTGCATTATATAACACCTAACACTGTCAGTTAGTTAAAACAACAATAAAAAAAAAACAGGTATCACCAGGTCAGGCTTTTTAAAGATTGTGATCGGCCAGAAAACTGCAATCGGTGCGCCCCCTATGAAGAGTGCTTCTCCTTCCCTAAACTGCATTCCTTACTCAGCATGCTGATCCCGCATGGCCTCACCAACCAACTCAAACAACTGTGTGTTTGTGGGTGTGTTTATGACCCTCTATTATGATGGTATTTAGGTTCTGGGGTGGATCCTGATCTAAATAAAGAATTTACAGTCTCTCTCAAAATGCAAAATGTCCGTAGAACAGAAATCTGTTTGAAATTTCGCCTTTTCTCGTCAGTGAATTCACTAAGAAGACCAACTACAGTTTAAGAAATGGTTTGATGTCATCTTGCTTTTCCTTTAGAGCTGGAGAAAGTATTTCAAGCTCAGCGGTGAGTCAGAGTGTTGATCTGTGTGGAACTGTGTTTATTAATATCAGCTCTATGGAGTTGAATGGGTTCATCCTGTTGTCAGAACTCTCTTCTTAGTGTTTTAATTGATAATTAAAAGCACGCCTCTGATTGGCTAACGATGAAAAAGCTGTAGTTTAATCAGTTAATGAGGTTTAACACACATGTAGGCTATTTTTTTTATCTTTTTATCTTAAGTGATTAGTTCTAGGCTACATTACTAAAATAAGAGTTAAATAAATAAATAAAACACATAACACGATTCAAGGAATTTTTCTCTCTCTATTTTCAGGATCTCTTCTTCACCCGTTTTTGTTTTCATAGATGGAAAATGTGCTGGATACCAAAGTTTTTTTTGTTTTTTTTCCCCAGCTCTGCCACCTGCTTCCCTCAGGGCGATCCAACGACTAAAAACAAAGCTGTATGCAAACAAATTTCTGTTGTAGTTTCGCCCCGCCCCCCCTCCATCCATAACTCATGAGGGAAAAGGAAGGCGTTTGGAAACTGGTACACATTTTCATTTACATGCAGTTTGCATTGTGCTCGGCGTTGCTGCTGAAAGAGCAGTCGGGGATCAGTTTCTAACTAGAGCGGCAGCCTCGCCTGACCTCCTTTGTTGGTGTGAATGTAAATACTGGAGGGGATGTGTGAGACTGTTGTAAAAACAGTGCTTCAGATTGCAAGCTAAGCTGAAAGAATGAGCCGTTGATGCCGACCGAGTATCTCTTCTGTCTGGTCTGGGCCTTGAAGTTTTGTAACTGGTTTTGTGGATTAGAGATGCACCAATCGAAGTTCTCTGGTCAGTTACTGGTTTTACACAAATCCTGACCTGCTGATTACATTTTTTTAAGAGAGAAGTCTCTTAACGTAGTGGAAAAAGTAGGTAGCGGTACATAGGATCGTTGGCATTAGACAATTTCTGAGCTCCGAAAACTAGGGAACTCATCCGGTTTATCAGGATGCTTTTCTATAGCAGGCAAAAAAGCTTAGAAGTGGAGGGACAACAAGACAACAGCAAGCCCAGTCAAAATCCAGACCAAAATCTAATTCAAAAATCTGCAGCAAGACCTGAAAATGAATGTAACCTGACGTAGCTATGTGTCAGGTTACATTATTCAATAGTCTGCTAATGTCAGAAAATACAATTTTGCGACTCCATCAAATGAAAAACTAAATTAAAATCACACATGAAAACATTTGATGCTGCGTGTTTATTCAGATGTATCCCGTGTCAAAGTCCGGCCACTTCCTGTTGTCTTCTGTCGTCTTTTCTGCCAGAAATAACGACCAGTCGATGACCACGACTCGTGTTATATAAAAGAAGTGATTTTATTGCAGTTTTGCGAAATAGATTTATTTTTTGATAAAGTCCCCCCAAAAAATCTCATACTATCACAGAAACCTTTTTAGTGGAAAACTTTATTTATTTATTTCAAATTGGAATATTTCCATTCAGCAAATTAAATTCCTTGTAATTCCAGTTTGTGCAATTTTATGAAAACACAGTTATTGTGCATTTCTAGACGGTTCAGATCTGAGCAAAAAGGGGTTTTGCAGAGTATTAATTCCTGGGAACCGAATGCATTCCTTGTGGTTGTGGTTATGACATGACAAAGTCGGAAGCGGTTGTATTCCTATCTGAATGAAAGAAAAGCTGCACATTTGAATCGCAGATCTCCTGATGAGTGTCAAGTGAACCGTGGTAACCTGCAGGACGAACCTGCGCGCTGTGGGTGTCCTGTTGTCTGGAAGGTCAGAGGGTGGCCATGAATTAGAAATGTGGCGATACTCCCAATGCGTCTGAGGCGGTTCGCGCCGCAGTTGGGCTCCAATTACCGCTTCACACAGCCCGCTTTGACACACTGCAACGGTTGCCCCGCTGGTCCCCGATCCCACCTGCCGCCTTCGCCTTCATCTGTAAAGCAAATTTGACCCCAATTCAAAAATGTCACATAGCGTAATATTCAAATTAATTAGTTCTGTGCCCTGGATTGAAGTAAATTGTCTCCCTGATTACAGCAGCTGTCATTATTAATCTATTGTTGGGTTGAAACCAATCAGGAATGTCTCGGGTCCCATGAGCGCCACATTCTGGTGCTCATTACCAAACGAAATCCAGTTTGGAACCACGTGAAACCACCAGGATCTTCTTCTGAGGCATTTATTCTCTTTGTTCGTCTTTATTAAGTTTTAAAGAACATTTTATTTTAGGTCCAAGTCCAAAAGCTTTTATGTTCATTCATGTGAAATGCTCTAAAACAGCTGAGCAAACTACAGTCTCCTCTTTTCCACCTTCAAGAAGTTCCAACTGCTGGATAAACACTCCCGTGTGTGTGTGTGTGTGTGTGTGTGTGTGTGTGTGTGTGTGTGTGTGTGTGTGTGTATCTCCTCCTTCCTGTTTTAACCAAATGAGATTGGGACCACCATGACAGCACGCATGTCGTAATCCCAGCACTCCATCATGGGAGGTGGTGTCACCTCTTTTTAAAGACAGTTTGACACATCTGGTTGAGTCTCCTGCGGCCCGTTGTTGCCGGGGTGTCGAGACCCGCTGCCGCTGTGTTCATAAGGAGGGAACGCCGACTTCTGCCGGTCTGCGTCGGGAGCCTCCTGCTTTGCATAAAAACCAGTTCAGCAGACTCCAAATCACGAGGCAGCTTTAATGTGGGGACATGTATCACCGGTTTGTTCTGCCTGTGGGGTCAAAGGGGTCAAAGCGAGCAGGATCGGCAACAAGACGAAGATGGAAGCGGGTTGTGCCATTCACACTGTGTGCTGTCCAACTCGCAATGCCCAAACACTGATGTAATGCACTCAACTTTTTCTTGACTAGATTATAATTGTTTTTTCTTTTTTTTTTTTTTTTTAAATGGTTGCTGATGTAATCCGCCCCGCCCCCATTCATGCTCTCTGCTTCACCTCAAAACCGCTCGCTGTGCGCGTGCCTCTCGCGCACGGTTCCCCAGGAACACAAAGCGCTCAGCCAGCGACCAAAGCCGTCGATCACACACGAGGGTGCTTTCGAGTCCTTTTATTGCCGATTATTGTAGTGGTGTTTATTTTGGAGCTCCTGCGCACGCATCTGTTTTACATCGAGACGTTACTGTCCAGCTGCATGTGCCGAGAGGCCCTGCAAGGGAGTCTGCTTTATTGGATGTGTACATTTTGTTCCACACGCTGCCCATCATGTCATCGTTCTGGTTATGCTTCCTCGCTTGCACCCGGAGCAACGTCTCACACTCGGCAAGCTTTTTCCACTCATCTTGCTTCTTCTTTTTTTTTTTTTTACACTCATGATTTAGGATGAGTGGCTAAAGTGTTACAACTTTCAGAGCTGTGCAGTGTTTTTAAACATTTGACTAGTGGGGAGCTGGGTTACTGTCACTATAAACGCTGAAAACCATACCCTTCACCACCCTCTGCTGCACACCGAGAGCATTACAGAACCCTTGGTGGGATTTTTTTTTTTTTTTTTACGAGATATTGTGAGGCCGTGGAAGGAAAAATTGTGTCTTGTCGAAGTATTCACACCCTTTGAGCCTCTCTGCGAAGGCCCCAGATGTTTATTAGAGGACATTTGTGGACAAATTAGTAGCATCATAAAGGCTGGGCAAACGGCACTCAAAGAAAACTCAACGTGCACATTACTCCCAGCACAGCGTCCACCGTACAAAACACCAGCTTGTTTCAATTAAAAGATATTTAAAAAACCCAATATATTCAAATGAACCTCATTCAGTCATAAACAGGCTGAAACCCATTTATTGTTGTCCTCAGCTAAACAGTTATGTGCCATGTTAGTTAAAATACATTAAAGTTTACTCTACTGTACACAGTGTGATGGGGATGAAAGAGAGCCGGTTGAGATTTGTTTTAACTAATATTAATCCAGAACTGCCTCTCTCTCTTTGCCTCTCTCTCATCAGATCTGCCTGGAGACGGAACGACTCGGCCCTCGCCGCGTGGAGAGCCTGAGGAAAGAGGATGAGGAGTGGCAGAAGAAGGCTCAGGCTGCCGTGCTCGCCATTCAAGACCTGACTGTGAAGTTCTTTGAAACCACAACCCGAGCTCAGAAAGGTAAACGGAGACGAGAGGCATTTCCTCTATCCGTGGGAAAATGTCAAACGCTCTGTTCACTTTGGCGTTTTAACATTTGAGTGTATGTAGGTCGTTTATAGACACGTTGCAGCGTGACGTGCGCTAGAGCCTTCACTCCATCTTCATTCTGCTAACCTGGGTTAGCAGTGTTTTGCTACCGACGATGACTGACATTGGCTTTAGCTGTCAAGTTGTCAATACAACCTGCTAAATCTTAAACGTATGTGTGATATATTAAAGAAAAAATGATTCATGGCTTTGCTGCCAATTCTCAAAACACTCAAAACAATCACAACTAGAAAAGGTCGATGAATAGTTTTAATGAAAAATGAGCAAGACAGCTTGAGGTAGGTCAGTTATGCTAGCTTGACTTTGACGACCGTGACATGTAGATGTGCTGCAGAATTCGGTGCGTTTTGGTCCAGCAAAAAATAAAAAATAAAAAAGCAAGCCCCACCAACTCTCACAGATTAATAGAATAGGTGTTTAAATTAGCTAACCAACCAACCGCTGTGTTCAGACCATCACTTTTTAATAATCTCAAAATAAGCGTCACGCCTGTTGACATAGAAATGTAACAGACTGAATGTTCTGTTCTTTGTGTGGGAAATGTTTGCTTGTTTTTTTTTTTTGGTGTTACTGATACTCCAGTGGAGCTGTTGTTGGTCAGTTGCTGTGGCAATAAGTTTGTGTGCAGCATAGCTGACACAGAGAACGAGGAAAAAGAAGAATACAAGTGGTTCTGAGTTTTTCTTGAACGGTTTTTCCGAGTTGCTTTTCCAGATGTAAACGATAACATCCTATAGGAAGCATTTCAGTTCTTTTTCCTGCTCTGCCTATGAAAGGGATTTTTACTCTGCCTCGTGTTTTCACCAATGCTGTGTGCCCTCCTGCATGTCCGCAGCTCTGTATGAGCGGATGCGCGCCGACCAGAGGAAGTTCGGAAAGTCGGCGTGGGCCACGGCAATCGAGCGCATGGAGCGGCTGCAGTACGCCGCTTCCAAGGAAACCCTGCAGCTCATGAGGGCCAAAGAAATCTGCCTGGAACAGAAGAAGCACGGCTTGAAGGAGGAGGTAAAGCGGGGCGACGCGGTGAAGAAAAGGGAAAGTTAATGCAGACAACGTGTTTTTACTTTAATAGGTTGGGTGGTTTTCCAAAAACCAAGACTTGTGCGTTAAAAGATGGAGGGAAAATGAGCAAGATAATGGACCCGGAGCGATGATCTCATGGCTCTGGCATCTTGTGATGGAGGGAGCAACATCCTGCTGTGCAACAGTGGAAATGACTCACTGGGAATGACAATCGGGTCAAACGTTTGTTTTTCATGTAAAGCTGCGCTCTGCATCTCATCTCAGGAGTCCCAACGCTACCAAACCAGAATCCGCTTCGGGTTTCCACTCCATCCGCTTCGCGTTAGAAGCAAAAAGCTCACGCTTTATATTTTTGGGGGAAATCAGCCAGTCTGCATGTCTGTGCCCTCGGGGCCCGGGAGGACGTGACGTAACGCCCAGGCTGTGCTTTTTGCAGATGCAGTGTCTGCAGGGTGGGGAGGATGCAATGATGCGTCTGGACCAGCTGGAGGCGCTGTACTACGAGCTGCAGCTGCAGCTGTACGACATTCAGGCGGAGGTGCTGCGCTGCGAGGAGCTGCTGCTGACGGCGCAGCTGCAGAGTCTGCGCAGGCAGATGATGGGTGAGCGTCTGCGTGGTGCCGTTTCTGTCGGATAAGCAATGCGTGTTCACAAGGAAGCTAAGGAAAAAGCTTTCCCCAAATGTTGAATCCTGTCCCTAAAAATAACCTTTTTTGTGTTCCTATGACGCTTTCCAGACGTGTATGAACTTTTTTTTCTCAGTTTGTCGCACGACTGCCAGAAATTTGAAGTCTTTTCATCAAGAGCAGAAGTTTTTAAAGAGACAGAGGCCCAAATTCAAGATGCTAAATATCAAAGTCAAATTTATTTTAAGCCACATTTGATATATGCAGCATTTTTATAAGAACTGGATATAACATAGTAACTTGATTTTGCTATGAAATGACACTCTGGCTGGAAAATACATGAAAATGCCCCTTTAATTAAAATGAAGTACTTGTTTTTGTTCTAATTCACTTTATCAAGCATTTTAATCACGACTGCTGTAATACATTTTAGTGAAAATGTGGTACAATTTGGGAACATCACTCCTTAATCTTACAAGATAATTTTGATACATTCTGTTAAACCTTGTTAAAACTCAATGGCTCTTGCTGATTATTTCCTCGTGTTTCCTAGATAGTCCCCTGATTTAACGCACAAAGCTGTTTATTCGTCAAACTAAACCCTCTCCTGGTTTTCCTCCCAGAGCGACAGGATGAGGTGGTCTACTACGACGCCTTCGAGAGCCCCGACGCCATGAAGGCCAAAGAGGAGCCCGCGTCCCCTCCGTCGCCCCTCAGAGACGACGAACTCTGCGTCCTCCAGCAGAGGACACGGCAACTGGAGGCCCGGAGGGGCCGCATCACTGCCAAGAAAGTCTACCTCAAAAACAAGAAGGTCAGATCAGCGCGCGCTTTCAAATGCCGCCAAGTGTCTCTCGTTATTTGAAGCTTCGCCTGTGTCATTTTTCTTGCTTTTTTTCGTTAGGAAATCTGCATCTTCAATCACAACCAGAAAACCCAGCAGCGCCAAGGACACAACGTCGACTTCAACTCTCTGCAGGTACTGCGGCAGGTTAGATCCGGTCATTTTGCTGCCCGTTGCTGCAGCAATGCATTAGCATTTGCCGTGAGGTGTTTTTTTTTTTTCCAAACTGGGATTTGAACCGATAGCCTTCTCAGCCGCTCCGCTCATAAATCAACACGAAAGAAAACCCAGAGATAGAAAGATGTTTATTAGCTTTCAACAATGTTTCGCTTCTTCATTTAACTCATCATTTTTATCATGAGAAATTTCTTATTACAAGGATTCTGATTTATCGTCCCAATGAATTTTAATTTACGCTTAAAACAAACCCAACAACAGTTGACCGTATGATCAGAAATGTTATTCTTGCTGTTTTCTCCACTGTTCAACTAGAGCATAAAGAAATATCAGCGCATTCAAAAATATGACGAAATGAAATCGTTTGCAGTTTACTGATATAAGTCACATCTCTGTAAGAGAAGAGCATCATGGGAATGTTTGTCAGGGCAGTGAGTGCTGTGGCCTTCAGTCACAGCTGTACAGTTTCCTAAATGTTGAGCGTTAAACCTTGAGTTTAACATATTTATCATTGCCACAACAATACTAATTATACTAATAACATTGTATTATTTGTAAGCGTTAATTATACTTTTGCAAAATATTGTGCAGAACGTTAAATGAACCCGGCTCGTCGCCACTTGGACCAGTCGCACAGGCGGCTCTAAACTCTGCTGTTTTGGTTGCTGTTTGTTGTTTTCTTTAAAGGGAGGAGAAGCTGCAGAAGACGACGAAGCAAAGAGAAACGTAACTGTGAGCCAGGAAAGGCAGAGGACTCTGGACAGACTTCGCAGCCTCAAACAGGTGAAGATTTCGCCGTCACTCTTTCTTCGCTCTTTGTTTTCTAATGGCTGCGTTAGAGGCGAGAATCTAAAGGATTCTGTCAGACAACATCACAACCTATCTGAATTCACGTCAGGTCGTGGTGTTGTTCCCTCATCAGAAACACACCTGGAGTGTTGATTTGATTGGCTCACGGGTGCTTGAGAAATCCTCTAATCTCCCGTGGCAACCGTTCGGCTGTGCAACACGCCGGGGTGGGCCTAGCTCCGCCTCTGCGGCGCAGCTCCTCCACGCTAGTAAAGAGACAGAGGCCCAATTTTAAGGCGTTAAATTAGAAAATCAAGTTCCTTTTAAGTCATATTTTATATATGTATCATTTTTATAACAACTGAAGTGAACACATTTACTCGCTTATGCTATAAAATAGCATTATGTGCATGGAAAACGCGTGATACTGATCCTTCATGATGTTTTTATGGTTGCGTCCTGTGGAGACGAGTGAATTGTTTTCCCGCCTCTGACGCAGCGTTATCCGGGTCAGGTGACCCTCCGGTCCAGTCGCCTGCGCCTCGCCCAGACTCCCGGCCGGAGGCGAGCGGCGCAGCAGCCCAGCACCCAGGCGGTCAGCGTCCAGACCGACTCCATCTCCGACCTCCCGGAGCTCTCGGCTCCGCCCCCGGCTGACGTCTGCAGCTGCGAAGGCGCCTCACTGCCCTCCATCGACCTCCAAAGCGCGCAGGCGGCGCCTCCTTTTCTCTCGCTGCCTCCGATCCCGTCGTCGCCATCTCTGCTCTCGGTGGGGCCGCCCGCCGCGCCTCCGCCTCCTCCTCCGCCTCCTCCTCTGCCTCCTCCAACGCCTCCTCAATCACTTCCTCCCGCCGAGAGCCAAGCGAGCAGCCCGACCAAGACGCTAAAGTGCGAGTCTGAATGCGCCTCGCTGCCGCTGGCTCCGTTTTCCCCGCGATTCTTCGACAGCAGCCAGCTGCTGACCGCCAGGAAGAAGCTGAGGAAGACGGCATCGCTGGACTCCTCACAGTGGAGGAAAGGTGAGGAAAACTATCATGAGCGACCCACTGCAGTCGTGTGGGGGAGTAAACTTCTCCTGACCTCAGGGTTATGACCCTGAGGTCTACCTGGGCCCCCCTTTTACAAACTAAACTCACAAATAGTTTTAAGTCTTAAATTGAAAATGTAAAATACTTTTACATAAAATTAAATCAAATTGTATAGAAATTAGCGCTGGAAACTTAGTACTCATTTCTATTAATTAATTACTGTGCAATTAATCAGAGTCATTTATTTGCAACATAAGAAAAAGATTTTTGAATTGCAAATGTAACTTGTTTTGTCGGTATGTGGTTTTGGACTGGAATGCAGATACTTGGTTACAAACACTGAAATAAACTCGATTCAAAATTTTAATCAAGCCAGAATATTTAAACATTGGATTTTAGATCTTTTTAAAAAAATCCGGGATTTATTAGAGTGCCCCCTGGTGGCTTGGAGGCCTTATCTGGCCTAAGCCTTCAGCAGGCCATGCTCTCTGCTAGAGCGGTGGCTGCATGAACTACCTTATTATGAAGTTTGTGCTGGTGAAACACGTTAAAACATTGCTACAAATATACAATTGCGCAAAGTTCTGGATGTTGATGTCAAAGTTATAGTTTTATTGCTAAAGAAATTCCCGATTTTTTTAGTTTTGCAAAACGACTATTAGTCTCGACCTCAAAAAAAGAAAGTACAGACCTTAAAGATTTAGACTAAAGGAAGTAAAGTTCCACGTATTCGGTCGTTGCACGTTGTAGTTTTCCAGTTTCACTTCATCAAGTTGGCTCCTCTTAACGTTTGAGCCCACTTGATGCTCAAAACGTCTCCGCAGCGAGCTCGCCGATGGACGAGGTGCTGGCCTCGCTGAAGCGCGGCAGCTTCCACCTGAGGAAGGCCGAGCTGCGCGTCCTCGGCCCCGACCCGGACGACGACAGCAACAACATCCTGGCTCAGATCCGGCAGGGCGTGCGTCTGAAGAAGGTGCGCGCCCGGCCGGAGCAACAGCGCCACCCCAAGAGCTTCCTGCACTCCGCCGACGCCCTGACCCGCAGCATCCACGAGGCCCTGAGGAGAATCAAGGAGGCCTCGCCGGAGTCCGAGTCCGAGGACGAAGGCCTGCCTTGCACTGACTGGGAAAACTAATAGAGGCTTAAATGATGGACTCTGTTAGTTTTTTTTTTGGGTTTTTTAATTCTATGCGGCCAAAACAAAGAGAAAATGAGGATCATGAAACAGACAAGCCTGAGTTACATGAAGGCGCCTCGGTGCAACTAGAACAAAAAAAGTTGCTTTTTTTTTTTTTTTTTTGGTTTGTTCATTTGTTATTCCATTCTTGTGTTTGTAAAGACTTATTGTTTTAAGGTGTTGCTGTTGCAGTTTTGGGGAGGGCACAGACCTCCGACCTCCTGTTACATCCGAGTCGTACTGTAGCTCCTTGTGATGGGTTTGTTTGAAGGAGGAAACGTTTTGCTCCCTTCTGCTACCAGAGGCACAAACTCTGTCGCACCTTTGAACTTTACTTCACAGCAACTATCTGTACCTGCAAATCTCTCAGGACTGTCCCTGATCACTGAAAGGAGCGGTGATCCGCACTAGCAAGGGAAAACCACGGGCTCCGTTAGAGAAGGCAGGAAATCAAATCATGTTCATCTAAGACAAAAATCAGTTCCTGTCGTGACAAAAAACGTGTTTTATGAACCTTTGATTTGTTTTGTTTTTTAAATTCTGTTGGTTTCTTTGTGTTTTGCCCTCACAATCAGGCTGAAGGTTTTACTTTTAATCAAAATAGGGAAGCAAGAGTTATTTTTTACTGAGGCTGAAAAGTAGAACGTATAGACGATTTCACTTTAAACTGGATTTGTTGTTCCCCAGTCTATTTTAAGCCTGGCGGGCCACCAGGCTTCATTAGCCAGCCCACCAGCCTGAGCGTCATTTGTTTATTTGAAGAAGTTTTTTTTTTTTTCAATAGAAAAGACCGATTGAGCTACGTTTATAGTGGACCCGTTGAGTTGCACCTCACGCAGTGTTTCAAACTTATGATGCCTGCTTGTGCTTCTCCGAATTTTTGTCACTTTTCACATTTTTTCGACATGGAAAAACATGGCGAGCCGTCGACGAACCGCCGTAGTTTTGCCGAGCTTTCTTGGGGAAACCCGGCGTTTGGCGCTAACACAGGTTCAACAAATGGACATCAGTCCTGTCGTCTCCTATCAGCCAGCTGATTAGCAGTGTGCAGCATGTAGGAATGCAACTTTCTAAATCTGCGGTATGCCTCGGTAAGGCGGCCTGCCGAGCACAGACGCTGTTCCTGCCAGCTCAGTATTTTTGATGAAAGTTGTTTTTGTTGCCTCCATTTCAACAGTCGAGTCGCATGAAGGCGTTTTTTGATGGTGTGGCGATAAATTGTCAGATTTACGGCTCGGTTTACTCATAATCTCAGCTGTGAGTTGATTAGCTTCACTGGGAAAAAACTGAGACATCAGACGAAACAATTAGGGAAGCGGATATGACGTAGTTCACGCAGTTAAAATTGGATTAGATTAAATGGGGGTTTTTTCTCCCCCATTTTGATTTGATGTCAGGTTCATTGGGACTTCACTGCCCCCTGGTGGCATCTCCTCACATTACAGCATGGGGTGTTTCCAATAGATTTTTCTCTTTTGCCTTTTTCTTTTTTTATTGCGTGACTTTGGACTTTGTGTTAACATTTGGTGCGTGAGTGATTATTTTAGGTTTTATTATTATTATTTAATGTTTTTAAATGTTTTTTTATATACTGAAAATAAGTTTCTTTGACAAATTATGCACCAAGTACTGTGGCTTAATTGCAAGATACATTTTCTTTTTCCTCCTAGGTAAATTTCAGGATTGTTTGCTGCATTGTTTTTTATTTTAATATTTGTTGAACGCCGATTTTACAGTTTCACTTTTGGTTAGAATTGAAAAGTAAAGCACAACTGAAAACAAGAGAAAAAACAAACAAAAGAAGAAAATGATAACTAATTGAACTTCCCAACAGACCAGAGAGCTTCAGTTGTGTTTCAGGTCGTGTTTTTACACGAACGCGTTTCCACTACAAAGATGTCGCTTTAATGCATCAAAGTGTGTGTGAGTGTGTGTTGACCAGCACCGAGAACTGAAAACCAGCATTTCTCTTCTCTAGTTTTATCTTAGCGTTAGCTTAATGTTAGCTCAACATTAGCTTAATGTTAGCTTAACATTAGCTTAATGTTAGCTTAGCGTTGGCTTCTTCCAGCTTTTTGAATCTCCTTCTACAGCACAAACGGAGCGCACTGTTTACATCGGTTTACAGTTAGCATGTGCTAAGCTAACTGTGGCATCACGAGTAATCTGGGCGTCGAAGCCGCCGTGATTCATTTGCATGCAGTTTCTCACAGCTAACTGGTTTGTTTTCCAGTTTATTGGGGAAAAGCAACCAAGAATACAACTTGATACTTTTTTGTTGCTGTTGTTAGACTGGCGTCCAGTTTTAGCAACTTTTGCACAAGACTGGCTCGAGGAGGGCAAACCCATCACAAAGTATGTGCAATAAGTGAAGATCGGAGGGGAAAAAAAAGTCATTTTTTGATTTATACTGTAAACAAATGTAAATCATGAGAAATGTATCCACATGCCTAAATGTATTGAAGTATTTATTGAAGCGTCATATTTTGAAGATGTTTTTAAACGTACCTGACGATGTCCTGTCACGCCATTCCTCTCTCTGCTTTTCCATAACCAAAACAAAAAAAAAAGAAATCTTTATTTTTCTTTTCATATTAAAAGCACCCAAAAAGTGTGTCTTGAAAAAAGTTCTTTCATTTTTATTTAAGCATTTAAGAGAGACTATTTAAGCAATAACTGATCTATGAAGCTTTGTACATGTGGAAGTTCATGTTGACCCTTTTCTTTTTGGGATGTAACTATGGAGGACCAACACTGACATATATATATATATATATCTCCATGTGTATAAACCAAAGGTGATTTTTGTAGTTTTTTTTATTGAATTGGAGAACTACTACGATTCCGCAGAGTGCAAAATAAAGAGACCAAAGCACAGTCTTCAACAGATTTTCTTTTAATATAAACTTAAAATTACAATTTGTGTTTTATCAGCACGTGTCTTCGCTCCGCGTTGAAACTATTTTTTTTTTCCCCGAATGCCTTCGTCATCAACAACGACGCACGTCGTCGCCTTTAAAGTTGGAAGCCGCCGCTAAAAATCACCCCAAGTTTGACCCGAACCAAGAACAAGCCCTTAAATTAGTGTTCTGCACGTGTTCGTACTGTAGCATATTCTTTCGTTTTTGGCAACAGGTAATCCCACGAGGAAAAATAAAAAATTAAAAATATCCCAAACGTACCATCAGTTAGCTACCGTTGACACAACTCGGTGCCCAAGGCAACATCAGCGAGAGTTCAGATCTGTACAGGAACAAACGGTATTTGGCAAAAGAAACAAACAAACAAACAAAACAACTAATTCGGTCGTATAAGTCATGATTTCCTTATGCTAATGAAACCATCTTCACAGCCACGTACCAGCATAATAAAATTAAATCCACACTTTACAATGTTTGTTATTCTAAATATCTTGGTAATAAATAATAATAATTAAAAAAAAACAATTCAAACCATTGCACTTCAAAATGCATCGAAAAGAAAAGGAAAGAAACGATCCGATTCACACACAAACAGAAGAGACTGAAGAAAATCCTGAATCGCTTTTGGTTCAAATCAGCCGGCAGGAGCAGGAAGGTTACCTGAAAGTGAGAGTGGAAACAGTTCGCAGTCCCTCCTCTAGTGTATTGCTCGAAAATTGTAGAAGAATGTAAGTCGGGCCGACATCCTCAACTTCCCGCGCTCGTCTCAGATCGAAGCTCATTCGGCCGATTTCCGTGAACAAGTGGGGAACAAAAACGTCGAAGCGTAATCGTGGGGTCGAGGAGACGGCTCCGGTGTTCCGCTGAAGCTCAGTCGATTAGCATATCATGGTGGTCGAAACAATCTAAATTACAACGAGGAGGTTTTCCACAGTGGAGCAAAGAAAAGGCTTCGCTTGGCTGTTTGTAAACCATCTGAGTGCTCTGAAGTGGCGAAGTTTGTGTACCGCTAATGCATCAAGCCGTGTAAACTCTTAACGTGTACAAAAAAAAAAAAAAAACGAAAGAGAGAGAGAAAGAGAAAAGAGATTTCAAGTTGTGTTGGTGACGACGTCTAGCTGCCCTCCACCAGCTTGGCCAGCGCGTCACGCAGCTCCGTCAGCTCGAAGATCTTGCTGTCCAGCAGCTCCAGCAGGGAGCGCAGGCTCTTCATGTAGGCGTCCCGCTCCAGCTGGCTGCTCTCCAGGCGCTGCTCCAGGTCGCTCAGCTGCCCCTCCAGCGTCCGGTTCCTCGACTCCGTCTCCTGGCGCCAAACGGAAACATCGGTGACGCGTATCGGAGCCGGAGCGACGCTTCGGTTTCAGATGTGCATTTTTATTTTTCCCCAAAACAAGTCAAATATTTTGCTCATGTATTATGAAAGGATTTGTAAACTTGTCCAAAATTTTTGTGCCAAGGTTTTGATAAAAATTATTTATGGAAAAAGAAACCTATAAAATTATACATTTGCCTTGACTAAATGTTGCCCCCTACTGGCTGAAATTTGCTAACACTTGTGGTTCTTGCAGACTGCTGATGTTTCTCTCATGCAGTTTGTTGCTCACCTTTAGTTTCTGCGTCAGGGCGTCTTTTTGAAACTTAAACTCGTTGGCACTCTCCACCTCCGCCTTAAGCCTCTCCAGCTCCTAAAGTGAAATATGAAATATAGAAAAATGTTTTGTTTTCAAATGTCGTTTAACGTGTGAGAGAAGATCAATAAGTGATTGAGCCATTAAGAATAATGATAAAAAAATACTCATTCAATTGAGACAATCCACATGAATGGTGTTAAGATAAATGACCTGCTAGCTCAAATTAAATTCTTGCATAAAAAAAAAAAGTGGTCAAAAAATATTCTTCATTTTTCTCAAATAGAATTAATTTGGCTGATTCTGACCTAAAACAAATGTAGTTTAATTTCACTTAGTGCAGTGGCTCCCAAAGATTTTCTGGGGCCCCCTATGGATCGCAATAAAATCCCCCCGAAAAAGAAAAAGGGAAAAATATATATATATTGCTCTATTTGTTTGTTGTTGGTTTTTTCTTTCTTTGAAATTCAAACTGTGCAGTTTGAATTTCAAGCATGTTCAAGAACTTTTTACAGAAATAAAATTTTTTAAAAATCTTTCCGACCCTTCAAAACACCCATTTGAAGCCCCGGCATGTTCTGGAGGTGGAGCGTCTTTACCTCCTCCTTGGCCCTCAGCTCCGCCTCCAGCTCCTCTATTGTTCTGTTCAGCTCCGTCTTCTGAGACTTGATGACCGTTGTTTGGCCGCTCACGCACTCCAGCTCCGTCACCTGCGAGACAAAACAGCATCCGTCTGAAGCGAACTCCGGTCCGGAGCGTGTGGCCGGCGGCGGCGGAGCCGTACCCGCTTGTGCAGCCGCTCTGCCTCGTCCTGATAGGCCGCCAGCTGCTGCTTCCACTGCTTGACGTTGGCGGTGGACTCGAGCAGGGCCGCCGTCAGCTTGGCGTTGTTCCCCTTCAGCGCCGCCAGCTCGGCCTCCCAGTGCTTGTTGATGCTCGAGGAGCTGCAGACGGAACGGAAAGCCGGCTGAGGTCAATGTCGGCCGAGCCGGCAGAGTCCGGTTCACGGCGTTACAGGTCAGCAGGAGGTCAGTAAATGTCAAATGAGGCTTTTTATTGGGCGTGCAATGAACTCGGCAGCTGGTCACATTTTCCTGTTGATCATTTCACTCCGAGTCAAACTGATGAGGCACAAGTAATCGACTGATTTTCACATTTTAATCATTTAGATAATGTGGAGAAGAAATCTCATTTCTAGCGTTCCCGCCCCCAAATTTATCCAGACTTGAGGGGGAAAAAAATCAGATTTCATATCTTTCAACTAGTTGTTGATCAGAATTACTGGTTCACTTCCAGGGTCAGAGTGCAGAACAAACACGAATAAATCACTGCAGAGTAAACTTAGAGCTGCCTGGTCGATGCTTCCTCCAGCACCACCGTTCTGTGGACTGGTGCACCCCAGGGCTGTGTGTTTAGCCCATCGTCGGTTACTGATGACGGGGTAAACATCGTCAGTATGCGGCGTGCCTGATGATGCATCAGGCACGCCGATGATGCATCGGCGTGCCTTTGCTCAGATGACTGCGTCATCTGAGCGCAGCTTCACCTGTGAGAGAACGGCAAAGCGTTTTGGGGAGGTTCCGCTCTGGCTTCGCCGTGCTTTGGCGTGTTCGGCGTCGCTCTGTCCTCGTCTGTGCCGTTGATGCTCTCCGGGGTCAGAGGTGACTGGAGGTCACCTGGCGCAGATTCCTGTTGTGATAGAAGAAAAAAAAAAGTACTGAATGGCGGTCTCATCCGACTGTCACACAAATTTTGAGCAAACTTGTTGATGTTATAATGACCAGAAAGTCGAGGTTACAAGCTAGCATGGGTCGCACATCTAAGGAAAACGGAGAGAGGTTTTCAGGAAAGCAACGCTGTCGTGCAATCTGCAACTGTTCTGTCAAGTCAACAAGTACTGGCGATGCTTCAAGCGGTCTGGACTCACCACCGCCCCCTCCAGGAACTCTGTGGTTTGCCAACATCTGGACACAAGTTGCAACCCCAAAAGCAGGAACCAACAGGCTGATCCACAGCTGTTCCTGCTCAACTGCTATTGCAATCCTGTTGTTCTTACTTGCCATTTAAATAAGGATGTAAGATTCTGTGGTACGTTTGACTTTTTTTATAACCATATGACTGCTCAGATGCTCAGCCCGTCTGATCATAAAAATGTCCATGTGGCGTCACATGCTCGTCTGACGCCCAGCTGTTTCGTAACCCAGCACGGTTGGTCAGCTGAGTCCTCTGTGAGGTTTCTGAATGACAACACCAGAACGTTCACGTTCGGGCTTCAAGTCTCTGTCTCTTACTCCCATTTCTCGAGCCGGTTCACGCAAAGCTAACCTATATCTCAGAAAGATAGTTATCAAAATGGTTGTAGTCTTTATTTATTACTGCACTTTCAGTAATAAATATGCTTAACTATTGGGAGGACAAAGGAGGCGGAGAGGGGAAGCAGCTACAGGGACCAGGTTTCACAAAACCGAGGAGAAACTTGGAGGGAAAGATTTGGACCAGAGTGAAAGAGGAGCATTGGCTCAGGTGGTTTTACCTTCTTTTTACCAGGTTTGTTGACCGACAACACATTCTGCTTTACAGCGCCACCCTGAGGAGAAACCGTCAGAGAAAAGGCAGAGGAGCCTCAGCAGGACACCGAGTGTTTAGAACGTGGCTTCGAAAAGATCAGGCAAAAAACATGCAGCCGACCAAAACGCCTTGCAAAAGTATTCATAACTCTTAATGATTAAAGTTTTCTTTCCTCATCACAACCACAAACGTCAATGGGCTTCATTGGATAGAATGGAGAGCGTCAATTCTGGCCATTTTCTTCTTTTGTTTTTTTTTTTACATTTCCCTCAAAATCTCTGAAATCCATTGACGTTTGGGCTTGTGACGTGAAAAGTTCAAGGGTAGGTCGATGCGATGTGGCTACCACAACTGTTCACACGCGACCGCACGGACGAGACTCGTTACCTGCGAGGGCGTACTGCTGAGCTCCGTCTTCTCCTGGGACTTCTCCTTCGCTAACCGGGCCGCTTCTTTGAACTCGGCGAATTTTTCTGCAAACTGAAACCAGAGGCAGCAGCTGACTCTGGTGCTCTGTCGGAAACCCAACACAACGAGCGTCGCACAATCCCAGCCCACCTTGCTCAGGTGACTCTCGGACGAGAAGCCGAGTCCGTAGACGGTGTTGGCCCGGCTGTCGGCCCACTGGCCGAACTTCTGCGATGTCTTGGTGAAGGTCATGTTGGGGGTGATGGTGCTGTTGATGATGGCCTGTGGGAGGATGAAACGTACATCACCGGAGTTTGCCGTAGCTGCTGGTGATGGAGGGCTGCATTGGCTGCAGGGAGGCTATTAACGCTGATGTGAGAGTTTAGCACACAGGAAACCGTCAATAAGGAGCTTCTAATTGAGTCCAGCTGGCTGTAATGTTATTGATCACCGTGGGAGGCCATTCCGGGTCTGCTGGTATAGTTGGCTCGATTCATTGGACGTTGACGTACGAGTCGATTTTTCTTTCCTGGTGCTTTCAACGTGAACCCTTCGGTTTAACCAACTACTTTGTGGAGACTTTCAATTGACCTTTAAAACATCTCAGACATACCACCAGCAGATAGACAACAAATAATACAATGAATCGATAAGCCAAACAGAGCAAGTTTAAATAAACAGCTGCAAGTTTGACAAAGTATTTGACACAAATAAAGTGCAAATTGAACAACAGGAACAGGTTAGGCCTGGGCGATATGTCTTAAAAATAAAATCTCAGATTTTACAAACCAGATCCAATTTTGATCATTTTTATTCCCACTTACTTTTTCAACAAATAAATTACAAACGACAAAATATTTCTTATAATTGAAAATAATAAAAAAATCTTTGCTTTGCCCTAATAACCAGTTTGACCCGAATTTAAAGTCCAAACAAGTAGAAGCTCTAAAACATGTTTGTCAAACAAGATGGCTGACATCACTCTGAACTCTGGAAACGCAAGGGATGCACTGGTGAAAACAAACATCTAAATGAATAAAATCTTCAAAAACAAAAACTTTGATGAGTGGATCGAATCGATTCACCGCCCGGCCCGAGGACAGGTGAAAACTCTAAAAGCCGACTGGTGGTCCTGACGCCAACACAAATCTATAAAGGCCAAACTGTGACTTTAGTTTTCACACTCTTTAAAAGTCAACAACAACAAAAATATTGACATCAATATGCAGGATGACATGAGATCTGTGTGTGCCATTTGACGTCCGTTCCAGTCTCCTTCCCTCAGAGGTTTGACTGACTGTCGGATGCTTCGGTCGCTGCCTGATTCAACTCCTGACACCATTCATTTGGTTTGGTCTCTACACACTGCGGCTCATTTACTCCCATCAAATGAATGGCAAATGAGCGGCACGGCGCTCCCTGAGCGATTACGCTTCTAGGAAAACTTTGAAGACTTTTAAAAAAGGACAATTTGGTTCTCATGTTCCTTTGGAAATATTCACATTTTAAATTTCTAATCTCACTTTTTGAAATCTTAGTAAGCGAAAGCAGTTCAATTGTGCTCAACAAAACCAAAGCTCGTTTTACACATTAACCAAGATGCATTTAATTTGAAGTTTATCCACATAAATAAACTGTAAATTAAATACGTCTGGTTTGACCTCAGCTGATCACAGTAATTACAGCGTTACAGGTGAGTGCAAGATAAAATTAGAAATGAAACAAAATTTGTGGACAAAAAGGTGTATATATATTTATGAAGTGTGTAAAGTAAAAAAGAAAAAAAAAGTCACTTTTTGTACTAAACAAAAGTTAATGCACCCTTTTTCCAAATATCTAGTCTTATCTGCTTTGGTTGACATAACTTCAGTGAGATGTTTCTTGTGTTGGTTGATGTTTGTTTTTTTTGCTCGGTTTAATAAAAGTTTTACTGTCATAATTTATTTTGGCCACTTGAGGGCAGCAGACATCCTCAACTTCAAGAGAGGTCTGGGAGGAAAGTGATCACTATTTTACTGTCTTGAGCTCCATGTTTGCTTTGATACTGATTAGAATAGAGACGGCAAGGGGTCAGAGGTCTTCCTGAAGCTTTTATCGGTCAACATGTTAAACTAATCTGTAAATTGGGAGTTGTTTTTTGATGCGGGGAGAAGAGTTGGCTCTCAGGAAGTTTCCGCTCTGGAATTAAGGGAACAGCGTGAGCCGTCGGCGCCGCGCGACTTTCCCCTCTGGTGGGTGACACGGCGTGTTGTTATCTGGGTAACGCCGCCCCTGCGATCCAGCACCACCGAGCTTTGCCTGCCATTTCCAGCCGAACGAAGCCGACTTGCTGGTTCCACAGCGAGACCAGTCATCCGGAGAAGCTCTTACATAACTGTGCAAACTCCAACCCTGTGCCTCGGGACTAAAATAATCACTGCCACATACATATCAGAGGCCCGGCTGCCTCAAGCAGACAGGCGAGGCAAAGCAGACATGTAACACGCAAAGTTTATTCCCCCCCTGATTAGATTAAACTTCAACGAGCCCCATTGGAAAAGTTAAAGAGGCTTTTCTGTGCATCGTAAAGTGTGTCAGAGTCCTAAGTACATTTTCGGATAATCAGATCGCTTAAGCATACCTTGGTGCCGTCCAGACTGATGATCCGATACACGTTCCTGGTACTGTCGAAGAAGTAGGAGACCGTGACGGCGTGCTTACTCGTAGGAACCCAGTTCTTCTTGGTGCTCGGGTCGATCTGGAAGACGTGGGCCCGCGTACTGAAGATGGGCTGCTCACTGCGCACCAAGAGAAGAAGCATCTTGATAAAGGCGTCTCTGGAGTTCGGATGTATGAAGAGCATATTCTACAGATGTTGTTTTTTTTTATTTAACACTTTCTATAGAGTATTAGAAATACGTTAAAAGATGCAAATGAATAATTCTTTTTAAAAATTCTGAAAATGAAAATATTTTTGCCCAAAATGCAAGACTCTTACACAAATGTGAACCAGGTGAAGCTAAAACTGTGCTGCTTGACGAGTTTTGGCTGAAACAAATTTCAGACGAAATATTTTTATCTTCAATTTAGAATGTAAACACTTTTGTTTTGCCTTAATTATTGCTCCCAATACGTTGAGGTTTTTGAGTCCGAATACTCCAGTTAACAATTAATCGATTAATCGAGGGCCGTCAGGCTGAACTGAACGAAGCCTCGGTGTAAAACGGGTGTGTGCGCTGCAGGGCTAACGCATGCCCAGCCGATTCAGCTCTGGACCACTGGCCCTCTCCTCCACATCTGGATGCAGGATTATCTCACATAATCTCCATACGTCTTGGCCCTTTTTTTTCAATCACATGTACGGAATCTATAGTAAAAATGGGGGGGAGGGACAAAAAAACAAGCAGCATTCTCCAATCTCGATGAAGTGTTGTTCCATTTAGACATCTGCAGTGCAGGGAACCTCGTCTTCATCCGTCTTATTACGACAGAAATCAGTTCGTTTTTATCGGCGTTCTTCATTGGCTAATGCCCCGCTGCTCCGGAGGTCAAATCTGACCTGCGTTTGCCCTCTTGAAGCATCTCTGACACAGAAATGTTGGTGCAGCTAAAGACCGCTTAAATAATTCCAACTAACTCAAGTCCTCCAATTTGCTCAGAGGCAGAAATCCAAACGGCAACTCTAAAGGTTAAAAATCCCTCCTGCAAGGCTCCTTGTTTTTCTCCCACCAGCTTAAATACAGACATCAAACCCACGATGCGATCAATGGAAACAAAGTAAAACGCTCATCGCAAAGATGATTTCATGAACTCCAAGATGTGCAAGATTTGACAAAGCCTCTGGAGATCAGGAAGGCTTGTGCAAAAGTTCACTCAGAAGGCAAGGTGGAGAACATTCCCGGACCCCCACTGTGAGCATGGATCATAAAAAAACAAAACAACACAAGGCTGGAGTCAGTTATTCCGACTGGAAGAGAAGTGTGGTGCAGCAAATATGTGAAGGAATAGAGGAGAGATTTCCCAGTTCAAACTGTTTGACAACCAAACGCCTCAAATGTCATGTTGTGAAGCGACAAACCGGCTGGATAGAAAACAGGATCAGATCTCCCTGAAGCTGTTGCCAAGCTTTTACAGATTTTTATCTAAAAAAAAAAAAAAAGTAAAATCTTTCTGTTTCACAACTATGCATTACTTTGTATTGGTCTAGTAGATCGTAATTAATTATAATGAATTGATTTTTGAAATACTACTTTAGAAATCAATAAATTAACTTCAATTAAAGTCAATTTACTGAAAAACAAACGTAATCAAAGCAGTGATTAAGCCAAAACCGTACAAAAAAAATATGCTTTACATTAAAGACATAATAAGAATAATCATAATTTAAAAAAACATTGTTTCAGCTTTATCTGGTTGAAACACCATATAAAAAAAAGGTTAATCTAAACAAATCAGATTAGCCAAGCAGAAAAGACAGAGCTTCTAGTTTTGTTGTTTGTCGTCGCCGATGGATCTTTTGCTGCAAATGATCCAGCATAAGCAAAGAGAAGGCTATGTTACTGTATTTTAGTCAATAAAACACTTATTTTTCCATTTAAAAAAGGACAGAGTTTATGCATTTGCATCTTTTAATGTTATTTCAAAAGTTTGAACTTAAAATCTGCAGAATGCGCCAATTTTTCTCATCCGATTAACCGATTAATCGTCAAGCTGAACAACAGATTAACCAAGAACTAAAATAATTGTTAGGGTTGCATCCCTAATAACCAAAGCTCAGACCATTGAAGTTTGTGGTTGCATCACAGCAAAATGTGTTCATAGAAATGAGGTAGATAAAGTATTTATCACTGATAACTGTGTCATTATTATCAACTCTGCTCTTTATAGCAGACGCTCCTCAAAGCCCCACGCTCGAATGATGATGGATCACAATAAATAAATAAAGCTCTGGGTTGTATTTTTTCTGTCTAATGTGTGTGAGTGAGTTCCTGGCAGGTCTGACCGGCAGCGCCTGCGCTCACATGAGGAGAGAGGCAGCGAAGCCTGAGGTGACCTGGAAGCAACCTGTGCGAACATACAGAGATCAGCTGCCACTGGACGACTTCCAGGCAAAGCTATGGATGAAAATCTCACAAGGCCTTGGGGATTAAAAGGCAGTGACTCCACAACCGGAACTGCTCACAATACCCAACGCACGATGCGGCTGCTTTTCGCTTCGCTCCGCACGTTTGTATGTTTCTAAGGGCAAAAGCGAACATAGAGGAAACAGAAATGTTAGTTCCTCGGATTTGATCTGGGCTTCATTTGGTTAGACGCGGCTGCAGGTAATCGCTACTGGTTGCAAATTCACCTAAAACGTAATAGACTCAAATGACAAAAGTGTGAAATATGCATTAAGTGTAGTAGCTCAGTTTTCCTTTGTTAGAATGTGGAATTATGGGTACTGTAGTTGTAAAACGTATTGGAAAGTTGGATGCAGCTAAAAATGGATTGCATTAGAAGACAAAAGGAGAAAATGTTTGCAAAGGCTATTAAAAGAAATGTCAGGGCATTGACAAAAAAAATTTTTAATTCTCAAGGCATTGAACATCTCCTGAATGTCAGTTAAATTCATCAGAGAAATGTTTTTCTTTACGTCCCATCGTCGTTTTTTATGCTTCTGACATGTTGCATTAAATTCAATCAGTTTTCAATCGTGCTGCTGTTAGTCAAAGTGTTACCCAAATGTTCGGATGCATAAAGGCAGCAAAATCATACAATAGCTAGAGGTTAATATTAATTTCTTGAATCTGACCACTGAAAATTAAACTTACTAATCCAACAATCAATTTGGGGTTCAGACATGGAGAAGTTGGAGACTAAATCAAAGTTAAGACACAACCAACTGCATCCTCACATCACTAGAAGCTCAAAGAACCACTTCTTCTACAACCTAATGCTTAAAAGGTTATTTCTTTATGCGGCTTTTTTTTTTTTTCCAATAAAGGCTGAAAAATACCAAAATGGGGGGAAAACCAGACTTGTTAGGTCAACAATATGTCCACAATCTAAAGCACAGGTGGTACACATAAAAAAATAGGACATTGTTTTGCAGCATGGCTCCCAGAAGTGTCACAGCTGAGTTTATTCAGAGATCCTGATCATCAACAAACGTACGATTATTTGATTCTTGAATTCCTGCAAATAATGCAAATAATTCAAGGATGCAGGTGCAAAACAGTCCAGAAAGCTTTTTCAAACAAGTCACTGATGTTTATCGTGTGACCAGAAATCCAACTGATTAACTATTTATTCAGATAGTCTAGACATGCAGTTTTATCAAATGTATTGCATCAGTGTGTCTGTAGAATAGGTGAGGAATGTAAAGTTTGCCCCAAAAAGGGATAAATTCCTGATTTTGGAACAGTCACTATAAGGTACAGTCACCACTTTGTCAAATGACTAAATGTTAAGACTGAGAGTGAAAATGTCATGCAAATGCATCTGATAATTTCTGAGTCAGCCACGGACTGACTCAACAAGTTTGGCGCTGGCACGACTGAAGACAAAGTAACTCCAGGAGTGACATCTACCCGTGCTTTGGTTACCATGTCGATAACCGTATCTTACGCAGATATGATCATGACAACATGCAAACTGCCAACACCACTTAGTGCTACACAGCAAGAGGATCAAGCGAGATCCGCTTTCGTTCTCTCAGGTCAAAAGTAATTAGCCAAAAATGAAACAAAAGCTGGTTAAGTGGTATCCATTAAGGCTTTTACAAACTCAGCAAGGCTCTCCAGGGTGCATTCACACCAACTCTGTTAATCCGTTTTAGTCAAGCTCTAGTCCATTTGCCTTGAAAGTCTGTTTTGTTTGAGGAGGTGTGAATCCGCAATTGAAATCCAGTCCACCTTAAGCCCCAGGTCTCAGTAAGGCTTTTAAATTTGGAGAGGTTTGAATGCCTATATGAACGCCAAACGGACCGGAGGCTACTCCAAATGCACGAAGTGGACTATACCGCGGGGCATTCGGGGTAAAATCAACCCAAGTAAACCTATGTGTCGAGCACTGGCAGGACAAATGTCTCATGGTGTTTCAGACATGGAGAAGTGAAATCCTTAAACTGCTCAAATCTGATGCCACTCATTATTTTTGTTTTTTGCGCTCATGTTTTTGTCAGAGGTTTTCATGTCGTTTCATTCAGAGGTTCAGTGTGAATGCGGTGCAACGCCACTGCATTCACACTGAACGTAGATTAGACTCAGGGCAGTGAGAAAGAGAACAGCACCAACTGAAAATGGAACAAATGTTGTAATTTGGGTCCCCAATCGAACCGAGTCTACCGGACTAGCAGGAGTGAAAACTCCCAAAAAATCCAAGTTTATCACAAGGATGTCTGTCTGCCATGCTTCTAGGAAAAGTAAAAGTGATAAAGTCTTAGCTGGAAGTTGGGCATCCCAGAACTCCTCTGGGATCCAGCTATTGTTCCCGTCACTGGAAATCTCCCATCTCGTCTCAGTGTGCTAATTAAGTTAGCAGAATGGAGCCCTGGCAGACGTTACTTAAAAGACAGACTGTTAATCAGAAAGATGTGATAATGGGAGGGGGTGTACACTGACAAGAACAGGCTGCAGGCACTGTAGTATGTCAACAGATTATGTCTAATATCACTTGTTAGCGATAACTGACACCTGGAAAATGTGGTTTCGTGTGAGCTTCTGGTCGACTTTAACACAATGCGGTAGAATTGACTCTACTTTGATCTGAGGAGTCCCAACTTTTCTCCTTCTTTCCCCCTCAGGGCACCACATGTGGGTGTGGTGGCCGTTCAGCCGCAGAGTATCAGAGTACCTCTGGTGTGGCATGATGGCCTAGATGAAAATCAGCTCCAGTTTTGTGTGCATCTCTATGAGTGAGTGAGTGAGTGAGTGTGGTCACTGTTAACCCATAATCCCTTTTTACAATGAAGCGTATTGAGGCATTCAAGTCTCAATGACGAGGGCTTTGACAGGAATCTGACTGCAAAGCTCATCAGTTCTCCAAATACAGCTGGCAGAAACATTCCCAATGACTGAGGTTCCACGAAGAAGATGGCTTTCCACAGGAAAGAACAAAAATATGAAATTACTTTAGACAATTTCCCAATTAGGAGTGGGCATTTAACGTTTATCATTTATTACAATAAATTTCTTAACTGTTCCATTAGTCGGGATTGTTGGTGTTACGGTTCTCTTCATCGTTGTTTTTAGTGAAAGTCTAAATAAATAATACATTTTAAATATGACCGACTGCAGTGATTGTGTGCAGATCTTTAATGCTTTTTACTTTCAGAAACTCTAAGAACGACCAGTAAGATTAACTTTGTCAGAAACTAAAAATGCATTGAGTACTGTCCACAAGAAAACTGCAGTTTTAAAATGTGGGCCTAATGCACTCTGCATTATTTTAAAAAAAAAAATTTTAATAAAACAACTAAAAAGTATCTAAAAATGCAACCAACCCTCAACTTTACAACATTTCTTCACTGGGGGATAAAAAAAAAAGAAAAGAGAAAATGATTTGACTTCTACAAGATAAAACCCTCAGAGTAAACGGCCGCAGCTTGGGCTCGCTGCGCACAGCAGTAATAACCCTGCATTGCTAACTTCGCTGATGCCACGTTGCCAAGGCAATGGCCCACGTGATGCGGGGCCGGCCGTGAGCCGCGCACATCCTCCAACTTCCATCACTGGCTCTCCTTCCCACGTCCACGTGCGCTCTGGCCCAATCCGATCCCGGTGTCCCTGTCAGTTAACCCACTCGCCTCGCAGAGGGAGACAGCAGGCGCCTGGCAAGGCAAAGCCTCCAGACAGACTCCCATATGCTGCTCCACAGCAGCAGCTCCTTGCACAAGTACATACACAGCGAAGCACTGTGGAGAATTACTGATAATAATAAAAAGTTACATTTTCAAAGACGCTCCTTTTACTTTGCGCGATTCGCTGTTCCAGCGAACTCCTCCGGCACCTTAAAGGAACAGAAGAAGAGCTGCACAAAGTAAAATCTTAACATAACTGAAATCGTTTATTGTGTTAGAACCTGGAAGCATAATTTTATTTCTCCCTTTCCAATTTACCGCCTTCAAGGACTAAACTCCTACTTCCCCCACTTAGCTCCTTCAGACTAGCCAGCAGCAATTAGCAAAAACCTGGTGGAACTCATTCTATGAGCTACTTCTCAGTGAAATACTGGTAAGAACTTTGTTGACGGGTTGTGATGCCTTCCTGCGGGAGAAAGTATCGGAAAGTGCAGTTTTTAAAGAGGAAGAGGTCAACTGTCAAGACATTAAATTACAAAGTCAAATTTCTTTCAACTCATGTTCGATATATGCAGCATTTTTTTTTTGACAATTAAATAAAATACTAAATACTAACTCATGAAAAAATAAAATAGATGGCTAAATTCTACAAAAAAAAAAAAAAAAACCCTGCCAGATAAAAGATGAAAACGGTTTTATTTATCGGTATGCTAAACAAATGAGAAAATATCGACTAATACCAATGTTAGCACCGATATATCATGCACCCCTACTGAAAGCTGTGCTTTAAATTTTCACAGTGCATTGTTTGATAGCAGTATGGTAGACTCATGCTAAACAATACACTAAATTGGAAAATCAATTTAAAATATTTAATTGCCTTTTCCTCACACTGGGATATTAAGGTGGTGAGGAAGACGCAGACAGACGCAGGAGAAGACCTTCATTGCGGGTTACGTCCACACATGCTTGAGTCGCCCTCTTTTTCCGTGCTTGAGGAAACAGCCGTTTGCTGTATTATAACTGCGTGAGCTTGATAACTGATGGGTATGAAGAGGTGAGCGGTTCACTGCTCTGCTCCTCCGAGTCTAATATTACAAACTAATCACGCGTCACGTCATCTGCTTCCATCTGCAGCCAGATGTAGGACGCTCTTGATCAGGAGAATCACCAAACATCTGCAGGTTCTGCTGCGACGCACGCGGTACTTAATTAAAGGCTGTTACTTCTGGAGCTGAAACATGCGCTGCCCTGCGATCTGTGGCTCACTGGGCCACAGCTTCTGTAATCTGAAGAGAAAATGAATGACGATCATCTGCTTAAAACCATGTGTAAAGAATTAAAAGTGGAATAATTGGGATCTTTTATGGAGTTTATTTATCAGGACTTTGCCTTTGCAAGCGTTGCACAGAAAAGATATCAATACTTCGTGTCTGTGCGCATCCATAATATTGATAAGTGGGAACGAAAGGTCAGGAAAACAGAAATCATGCAGCAGCTCAGTTCACACATATTTAATTCGAATACATCAATATGGCTGTTGAAACCAGTGACCATTGCTTTGAAGGATGCAGTTAAAAGTTAACATGTCAACTTTTAACATTCTCCTTCTCCGAGACGCACAGAGTAAACCGGCGCTTCACCTCCTGCGCACTGCCGCCCAGCTGGGAAAAATTTGTGATAAAGAATCAAAGGGTTTGACATGGAGTTTCTTACAAAATTTGGTTGCTTTATAAATAAACAAATTTTGGTTACAGGTAAAAGTTACTTTGAAAAAATGCAAGACAATTTGCATGATGTTAATGGTTGTTGTGTTTACTGTTGCTAAATGAATGTTTAATGGTATGTCAGATGGCAAACTTGCTTTATTATATCATTACCATTGTGTTGAAAATGGTCTGAAAACAATAACATTATCGTTTATCGCAATAACTTCTGTGACAATTTATTGTCCACTGCGATGCAAACGAGTGGAGTTTTTCTTGAAGAAAAAAAGACTCTTTTAGAGTCTCCATAAGTTAATTTCTAGAATAGGAATGAGCTAGTCAAAGTAACAATTGAGGGATTTTTTTTTTGTCTGAAGAAGTGCGCAACACCTCTTCTTCCTCTTGTTGAATGGCGACTAGAAAGCAACGTTTTGGTGCATTACCGCCACCAACTGGAAAGGTCTGTGGCTCATAATTCAAAATGCAGTCACATTTATGAAGCTAAGACAACTAAAACAATATGAATGGGACCACTGTATCTGTGGTGTTGACAGTAATTTGTCTGTGACACGTACGTTTAATAACGGGGTGTTGTCTAATTAAACTGGTTAACTGTCACTTGTGAACAAAAGGTCATAATTCTGGGTATATCGAGTTATGCAACCAGAAATTAAACAGTTATGTATAATCTTATATATAAAGGTAATGTTGGATTCATTGTACATTTTACGTTCATAGTGGAAAATGTCTTTTGCTGAGTCTGCCTGCAATTATTATTCCCGATTAGAAATTTATATACTAATTTGGATAATTCTCATTTGTTTTCTAATTAAGCTTGTTTAACCTCACTAAGGAGGATAATAATGTAGGAAAAACAAGTAGTGCCATTAGCAACTTTCATTGTATCCCCATAATGATGTTGATGAACGCAATTGTAGTGCTACATTTTTATCTTGTTACATCCTTACAAAGCCTGATGGTTTGTCGCTTTTGTATTTACCACAACAGAAAATCTCAACCAAAATGGCAAAAGAAAATTACCTTAACGAGACAGATTTCATGGTAGCCCTGGGAGTGAGCATTTATTGTTTATAATTTATCACAATAAATGGTGTCACAATAAATTCCAATGAAGGGTGGTCAAACCCTCCCCAAAGCTGTCCATATTTTTTGGGATTGTTAGTTTTAATCATTTTCTCCACTCTGTTCCTTGACAGTAAATGTCATGGTTGAACATCTTTATGCGTCTCTTTATGCCCATTTCAAGAGCAGTATTTGGGTTGGTGGGGCTTTGAATGCTTTCACACACTGTCACAACCGCAGAGTTATCATAAGAAAGATGAAATAAATAGTTACTATTGTTTCCACAATACCACTAAATACCGTAATATTTTTTAATAATTGAAAGTATCGCGGTGTCTGTCTGGACCAGATTTAAGGAGGGGGGGAGTAGGGGGAACTTCATTTATAGTTAGCTGTGAGTAGCACGCTAGCCTTGTGTTGTGTGGGTCAGGGAAGATGAGACTCAGCTCGGCTCCACTAAACCACAAAAACAAAGTCAACCCTCCTTACCCCTCCCCTCTCCCACGCTGAGTGGAGCGCTACAGCTTTGCGTTGAGTGTGCCGCCGGTTACATACCCCATTTCTGCTCGGTTTGGGTGCCAAGTTGGGTCGAAAATGATCCAGTCGACGGTCTCCTGTTGAATTGGGGGGGGGTAACGGGCTAGTTGCTGCTGCTGGTGTTGATCCGCTCTCTCTCCCCCCTCTGATTAAAGCCGCTCCGTTCTGCTCGCTGTGGGGCTGCTGGACCGGCTGCTCTCAGTCAGACATGGCCGGCTGTGCTGTTATGCCCTTGGGCACATCCTCTCGGCTGGCCTCGTCGGAGCGAAACGTGTCGGTGCATGCATGATGACCGACAACACAACGGCAGCACAGACGCTAGCCGCTGCTAGCCGCTGCTTCCGTTAGCCAAATAAAGCGAGCGGCTCGACTTTAACGGATTATGTTTGCTGGCTGACAGCAAACGGAGCCCGGTTTAGAGCAGAATTAGGCTATTTTGAGTCGAAAGTTGAAATACCGAAAGGCTCGACGGTAAATGCTGGTAAGTGTTCGAAACATCCCCAAAATCTTGACCAGTAAGACTTTTAGCTCGCTTATAAACACGAGGAGTTTGGTGTCAAATCTCACAAGAAGTGGGATGGATACGAAAAAAAAAAAAACAGGAGGAAAAATATTCACATTACTATTTTGACGAGTCGCGGGAGTTCATAAATCCCAGCTTAAGTCGCTTATTTTTCCACCAAAGTCCAACGTGCCATTAAACAAACAAACAAACAAACAAAAAAAGCCTCCCGCTGAGAAATATTACTGAGTTTTTCTGCACGTGAGGCATTCACTGCAGCTCGGAGACGACAAACATTTTCCTTTCAGACGGCGCTCCATTCCCTCAGTTGCTCCTGGAGACGATGCAAAAGAAATGCGGTTCACTCTCCGGGTTTTGCCATCACGTTCCGTCCTCCTCTGAGATTAGACGGCAGCGGCTTCACCCGATGGCCTCGTCCAGCATCTGCACGGAGGAGTATTTACGTGTTGTTGTTTTTTTGTTGTTGTTGTTTGTTTTTTTGTCCTCGGTATTTCTCCAAAACAGGCACGAAGGTGACGCCAAACTACGACGGCGATGCTTCGTTGGCTTGATCATTCTCCTCTTTTATCTTCACCATCGTCGTCATCATCATCATCCACCCCTCTGCCCTCTGCCAGTCTCCCGTCTCATTCATCGCACAGCTTTATCTGACGCTCCTGGGGGAGCGTAAAGGTCTACGACGTAATCGCGTCACGTTCGGATCAGATTCTTTTTTTTCTTTCTTTCTTTTTCCTTTTGTAATAATTGGCAAGAAAATGGTTGCGCCAGCTGCACATTGTGCAAATCAATCCTAGCACGCGTCAACAATACACAATTTAAAAACTTTGGAAAAAGTCATAGAAAAATGGAACAAGAGAAAATATGTTCTAAAAAAAACTCAATGTTGTTGTTATTTTTTTGAAGAATTGTTTTATCATTACAATGTTTTGTTTAAGGTTATGGTACAGCATCTCAATTTAAGTGAAGACTTGAGACATGCCTTAGTTAGGAGAACGTGATGTGGCGATCTTAATACATTCCTTCTATAATCCCTGTTTTTATTCCAATCCAGCAGGTGGCGGTAACGTTCCTTACAGTGCAGGGGAGCGCAAAAGAACCCAACGCCGTTGTTTCCGCCATCTTGGGAGGGGAATCATGGGGGAAAAAACTGGTTTACAGCTACAAGGTTGTTTGTGTAATGTGTGTGTGAGCGTGTACTTTTTTTTTTAGGAGTTTATTATTTATCAAATTTTAAGCTTGATTGTTTGTCAGAAAATCACAAAAAAGGGCTTAAAAATGTTTCATTTTTGAGGGTAAAAAGAAACGTTTAAACAAAAGAAAACTTTTTTGGTTGGATCAAGCATTTTCTGTGTCATAATTGATCTAATTATAAGATTTGGTCCTCTTTGGTTGGAGTGTATCATTAGTTCACATTTCACAATCTATGAGATTGTAAGACCACCTCTAGTCCAGTTCTGTTCAAGTGACCCCACATATGTCTGTTTTCTAATAAAGCTGTTTTTTGTTGTTTGTAGCCAACTGTTGGACTGACAGTAATGCTTTTAGCTTTTAAGTGAACAACTGAATGGTTTGGGTGAAAACTCCCTGGGTCTGTTCTTCGTTTCATCCACCTTGAAAAGAAAATGTTCCAGTTTAAGAAAAGTAATCCTGGAATAAGTGCCACCACCACCACATTACACTTCTTATTGGACTGTGGCTAATTGATATTTGGATATTCCAAACACTTCAAGAGAGTTATTGTCTCCAAAGATGGCTCGGTTGAGGTACTAACATTTTTGCACAGAACAAATCCTCCAAAAGAATTAAATCATCACTTAATGACTGTGTTTTGTGTTTACTCTGGATGTCTTTCTCTGCTGTCAGTATTCATTTGATTCTAAGGAAATAAGAAAAATAAGAAAGCACAAATAAGAAAAAACCAAATAAATCCATACTTATTTTAAAAAAAAAAAATTATTCAACCCTCTTGTCTCTGTCAGACCCACAGACTGAGTCATGACACTGGATACAGGCCACCAGCACTAAAATAGACCAGTCAGGAGTGATAGGGATCACGCATTTCTTTAAAATGCTGAATCACTTGTGTTCAGGTTGTTAAAATACTAAACTCCCTCCCCACCTATCCCATAAAAAAATAATAAAATGCTAAGATATTACAGATGTGCTGAATCAGACACGTTGAACAGACGGCAAGTGAGCTCCCCCAACATGCTGCAAATACTTTAGATGAAACACAGGAAGGCCGGTTTTCTATTTCAAGATTACGCTGAGCATGAAAACTCAACTTGAGCACGCAGTGGTCAACAGTGACAGTGTTGAAGTGTGCTGGGAAACTCAAGCAAATCCATCAGGATAGTCCCTACAATGGATACATTGGCAGAAGATTTAGCACGGTCTGATGTCGAAGCCGAAATGACGATGTTGGGTGCGGAAGATGCACCAGAACAAAATGTTGAAGCAAGTGATGAAGTGGAGAACCTTCGAAACAGGTATTTTTGCTTTGAGAATGTAATCAGCTGAAACTGAATTGTTTTTATATGAAATACTGTAAAAACAATGAAGGATATTGCATAGAAAGATAACTTCTGTATGCATGAGTGCTGGATGGTTGCGTGTAAAATACAATCTTTGTATTGGAACATTGCCGCTTTCATTAGGAGAACAAAATAAATTGTGTAAAACTCAAGACTTGCAAAGAAAGAGCTTTTTGGTCCTGATTGTCACTTTGTGTACATGTCTTTAGTTTACGTGAGGCCGTCCACGATGACAGCGTCCGACCCAAAATGCAGTGCCTTTTGATGGACACTTCTTTTTCCATGGTGACTATGCAAGGCGAAGACAGCGGGATCGCATGGGAAACAACCGCGAGTCGCTGTGCCACACCTTGGACGCCTGCCGCAGGAACAGCGGATGTTAGCTCACCAGCTTCAGTCCGACTCGGAGCATCGGGGTCTCAGCCTGCAGGAAAGATCATATTTGTCATGGATGAAGAGATGATCACAAGACAGAGAAAACCTAAAGAAAGAGTGAACAATCAGAAGAGCAAAGCGGAAAGAGAGCAAGAACTGTGGGATGAAACCTTTGACAGCGTCTCAGGGCGACCAGAGTTGGTAGAAGTGTCCCAACCCAATGTAAAAACAGAAGCGGAAGAGGAACAAGAGGAAGTGACTGATCTTCTGGAGGACAAAGAGCAGCGTTTGTTCAGGATAGTGTCAGAAGGTTCAGAAATCCTCAACATTGTCGTTCCTCCTAAATTTGCCACGGTGGACGAAGAGGAGAGCAAGGAAATGGTTGACAACTTGTCATATCTGGAGGAGAGTCTTGTTCCCAAAACCAGTGCAGAGACTCAAGACAATGACTTACTATTCTCAGCAGAAACTGGTGATCAGATAAAGGTTTTACCTCCTACAGGTCCTGGTGCAATGGACCCACCAGGAGCTCCAGTGGCCAGACCTCCAGTAAGAGAAGCAACTGGGAATGTGGACTACTTTGAGGCATTCTCTCTGATTGAGGCCCAGGCTCCAGGAAGTCCTGCTGTGATTCCACAAGGGCAGGAGGAGCATGAGGCAAAAAAAGCCACTGACAACCTGGATGCTGAGAAACCAGAGGCACCTGAAAATCACACAATGGCCAAAAGTGTGGACATTGATAAATCAGACATAGTGAGTTTAGAGGAAATAACCAGTGATCTCCTGGACGATGTCTTCTATGGTGGTACAGAAAACTTCACTTTAAAAAGTATGGACATTACTGACGAAGTCGGAGGAGCAAAAAGTCCAATATCTAGGCTTGTTTCCAAACCAAGTGGTTCGTCTTTGTTCGGTAGCCAAGAGGACATCCTGACACCAATCTTCCTACCTGAAGGACCACCAAAAATTATTGACCAAATATTGCTGGAAGAGCCGAAAGCCATGGCTTTCCTTTACACTGACCTGTATGAGGAAGCATTGGGCAGTAGGAAAAAGGAGGAGGATGCAGAGAGCACGACGTCTGAGAAATCCTTCCATAGCAGGCATTCAGACCGAGAGGCCAGAGGTTATTTAGAGAAATTCGTCCTGATCGATGAGACTCCTGCAGTGGAGACAGAACAGCAAGAAAAAGAAATTTTCACATCAGAGGAATCTCGAACTCTACCTCAAGATATGTATGACTTTGAAGACATTCTCGCCAAGTCTGAAAAAGAGAGGCAACACTCAGATGAAGTCACGGACTTCTTCAGGTCTAGTGCCAATTCTTCTCCCTGTGACGTAGAACCTTTCCCTCAATCCCTAGAAGAGGACGACATTCAAACAGCAGAGAGGAGCATCAAGACTCAAAAAAGCGTTTCAATAGCTGCAGAAAAAGTCTCAGAAACCCCAGTAGATCCTCTCGCCTTTTCAAGCTATGAGTTCCTGCCAGATGAACCAGACTGGGAGGCTGTAGATGATGGTCCTACAGACCTGGACAGGAGATCTATTGGAGGAGAAGAACTGGGAAGGCAAGAGTCCGAGCTCAATAAACCAAATGTCCCTCCCAGGAAAAAGAAGACATCCTCTTCTAAATCATGCTTGGATCTAACACCTCTTACTCCGGTTGATATGATTGCACAAGAGAAAGAGGAGGCTGGAGGAAAGGAGCACAGGGTGGAGGAAAAAGAGACAGCATCACCTGCAGAGACTGCTGACGAAGGGGATGGAAATGAAGAAGACACTGTGGCGACTGAATCTGAAGTTGCGCAACTTGACAGCGATCCAGTTGAGTTGAAAACCGGGGCCCTGGAGAGTGAAAGCACCCAGGAGTCTGATGAGATGACTGTCACAGACGCAAAACCAGACGAAGAGGAAGAAACAAAACCGAATGAAGATAGAAGTGAGAGTCAAGCAGCAACGACCGCTACAGATGTTGAGACAGAGGTTAATACGGAGAAACAAGAAGACAGACCCACCACCTTACCAGCTGATCCTGCTGTAAACAAAAGGCAGTGTGTGATACTTTAGTTTAGCCAAAAAGCTACGTTTTAAAACCCACTAAAATGTTCTTCCACACAGTTCCTACAGGTTAAAGTCAGGTTGTGTAACACATAGAATAAGTGGTTTTTGAGCCTCCACCACTTAGTTCTTTTGAGGTTTTGATTGTTTTGCAACCCAAGGTTTTCAGGTATGGAATGGTACTGTCTATTGTTTCATACTAATTGTGTCAGGCCACTTTGTACCTGCTCTGACAATGAATGATTTACGGTCATTCTCTTACTAGCAGGTCACACAGTTCTTTTGGCATGATCAAGGGTTGGGATTTGTCATATGTTAAGAATTAATAGGCAAAAATACAAAGTAAATAAAAAATACAATTGCAACATTTTCAGAAAATACAGCATTGTTTTATGCTGTGCCGTGTGAATCTAGTATTTTTTTTTTACTGTGCGCTAGTTCATTGGGCTCTGCACGCGTACATGTGGAGTTCATTTTTTGGTTGATCTGGTACACTGTACACACCTGCACAGATTTGAATTCCCCCAGACAGTGGCAGCAAATCCAGAAAAAAAGACACAACACCCTTGTTTGCAAACTTGCACCTGTCTAGTTTATATGAATACAGAGAGGTATACGGTAAGTGCATTCTGATTGCTGGAGCAGATAGCCTGACTAATTTATCAGCTAATATCCGCTTGTTATGTTTGTGTACGCTCTTAAGGGATACATTGTAAAATATTTTCAGATTGTGTGGTTTGTTAAGCTTTTGAAAACTACTACTAAATTTGACAGGTGTTTGTTTGATACATTTGTGGGCAGAAAAGCCAACGTAATATACATTACCGATTTCTTGGCTACAAATACAACAACCAAAACAACAACAAAAATTCATAGTGTGATGTATTTTGTTTGATTTTTTTGTGCTATTTTTTTACTCTAGGTTTTCACATTACAAAAATAGTCCCACTGTGACTAAATATATTTTAAAAAAATGTTTTTAGTATTATTGTGCTTGGACTCTGCATTAACTCAAAATGAACAGCTGCTGTCACATTGATGCGTTATGTTCCGTTTCTCCAGGTGAACCCAGTCGCTGCAGCAATAATGGATGATTCACAAGTAGGGGGGAAAGGTTTGGGTCACGAGTGCCAATAATAATAATAATTTTAAAAAAGATCTGAGAACATGTGTGATGTCAAGGTGCACCTTTGACTAAAAATAAACCCGTCTGGCTGTTAATATGACACCACTTCTCCCCCGGCTTGTAAACAGCCAGGCCACAAGTTTGCAATGCGTGCACATATTAAAAATAAGGTACTATAGCTATATTTGATGTGTCTGTCTAACCCATGACACGTTATGAAACGTTTTACGATGCGGAATTGAAATAAATTAACAATGTGTTCCTGTTCCGCTCCGGCACGACTCCTGCTGAGTCACAGTGCCCTTGAAATAATTTATTAAAAACATATTTTGGGAGAAAACTCTCCTCAAGCGTTGTTTTTCACACTCTGGATTTGCACCGAAAAGGCAGGAGAGGAAAGAATTTCCCTTTTTTTGCATGTGAGGTTGTGCTGCAGACCAGACGGTGAATCTGGCCACAGGAACCCTCAATCCTGTGGCTGCAATGGACTTGCAGAGGACAAACACAAACAGGCCGTCATGTAAAAGTGTATAAATAACATTTCAACAGTGTTTTAAAGAAACAAAAAAAACAACTTCTTTAGAGAGGAGATAAGTTAGATTGCTGGAGTAAGTAGGGTAGGGCCAAAGTTGGACCTGCCAACTATCTACTTTGCAAATTCTTAGGCAGGTCTCAATAACTTAAAATATCTTTGAAAAGTTTCTATTTTAGTCATTTGATTCAAAAGCTGAAACTCTTCAGATTTACCACTTACCCTTTGTATTAGTCTTATGTTAAATTGTATTTCTCAGAAATAAATGTTCTTTTTTTTGTTTTGTCGTATTTTGCCCTTTATTCCATTGGACACCGAATTGAAAACAGGCAACACTTACTGTTCAGAGTACTGCACTTGTTCCTGTGTAACGGACATCTGCACTTTGTCTGCTTTCGTCCCTCTTTCTGTCTATGATTGTAAATATGCACAACATTGGACCTTGTAAAATATTTTTAAAGTTATTAAATCTGGACTAAATTACCACCAACCAAACAAGACTGGATGTGTTCTTTTAGCGATCAATGTATCGAAAGAGCTTTGTTTCCCTCCTCCCGCTACAAGAACTTATGGAAAATCTTTCATTCTGTCTTGTATAATTATGATGCAATATTTTATTATATTTCCTTCTCTGTCTCTCTTGATTTTGTCCCACAGAACTATAGCAGCATCAACAGGAGCAAAATCCATCATGACTGTGTGAGCAAAGTCCGTCAACGCATCCACACTGGAGAGAGGCCGTACAACTGTGGAAAGTGTGGAAAGAGCTTTGTTCAAAAAGCACATCAGGTAGTCCATCAGTGTGACTGCTGACGTCATCATACTCAGCCATGTCATGTCTGAGTATGATGAAACGATGTTTTTCAGAAGCCCATCACTGACATACAATGAACATCTTGGAATGCATGTAAACAGTTTCAATATGTCATTACAAAAGGAAATTAAAGTTGCAAGGTTTTGAAATTTATTTTATAAATAATCATGCAATTGACACTCATGTAAATCTTCTCACATTTAAGAAAGAAGAAAGACGATTCTCACTTAGAATCTTCTTTCTAAGTCCAGTTCTTAGAAAGTGTCTCTTATTGAGGCGACACTTGATTCCTCTTTTGTCTTTAGCTGGAATTTATAATCACATCACCTGCTATTAATGTGCTACTTAGGGAGTATTAGAAAAGTCATGCTGTGTCAGCATGTGTCAGCAGCCATTGTACTGCACTTGTCTCCTTCAGAAAGCAAGCAAGAATACATTCTTCCAACTATTTAACTATTTACAGTTAACCTAGTAAAGTTTTTACAACTCTCTGCCAGTGCGGATCACGTCTTTTTTGAAAATCCTACATGCAGCTTTACGGCATTTACAGCAGAGATGTCAAACTCATTTTTATTTTGGGCCAAATCCAAAGTCTGAATATTCTTAAAGGGCCGGTTGTGCCAGTACATATTGATAAAACCCATTAAACTGTTAAAATATCAATAATTAGCTGTTTGTTTCAGTCTTAAATCATACTGAACATCTTTTCACATTGATCAGTCCATCAAGGAGTTTGTGACTGTTTCTGAGGGTTTTTGTGCAATCAGAATCACAGATTTTTTGGTGCTAATCTGGAGATATTTGTAAACATTTTTATTTCAATATTCGCGCTACTGTGCAACGTCAAGTGTGACTTTTTATTAAGTGCCGCATCAATCAGGTGCTACAACTTGACATCAAGTATGGCTGAGGCAGCAGTCACTTAAACTTGATGGTTTAAGTGACTGACTAACTCCGGTCAAATTTCTCAAAAATGTTACTGCAATTTTTAGGGAAAAGTTACTTACAAAGAAAAACTCTTCTAAAATTGGTGTGCATTTATATCAAGCTCCATTACCCGAATTCACCTAAATAAAATCCAGAGCACCAGTAATCGGAAAACAAGAAAAGAGATCCCAAAGACGAGACCAAATAAAATCGTAAAATTTCCTGTTGCTCGGCAATCCCAAATTCACATTTCCAAATTAAAATTGATTTCATTTTGGAAATCTAGGTGCCTTTCACAACCTTAACCATCTCAATGCTGCTTATTACTCTGAAATAAATCTCTCTTGAATGCAAGTTACATTTTCCTTTTGCAACTGTGATTAGGGAAATAAAGCCAGTTTACGATGATATGACAAAACCATGACTGCAAGGTTAATTCGTCACTTTATTTCGCTTTTCACAACAATCACTACCTCACTATTTGATCGGTTTCTACACCGGAAATTCATTTTTTTTTTTTTTGACGCTGTTGTCCTTCAGTGGAGCGCGTGTGTTGCATTCGGGTCGCATTCGAATATTTGCTCCTCCATTCGAGTAAACATACAGGGGGGAAAAAATACCCTAAACATCAAATTTAAACTAAAAACCTCTTAAGTGAAACAGATTCAGTGTTTATATAAAATCAAATAAATGTAATCCGGCACATTTTACAGGAAAAAAAAGGTTGAGTTTATGGAGGGGATTTAAATTTCCGAGTTACCTGAACGCGACGTCGAGGTTAGCTAAGTGGCTAACACCGCAATGGACAATGGTCCTTGTGTGTGCTCTCCTGTGGAAAACGGACTTCCTGCCTGTGACGAGTCTTATGCAGACGACGAGTTGGTCGACGCTTTCGGAGACCTGGCTGCCCTCCCGGTTGAAGTTGAGGAAAGAAGACCGACATGTTTGCGCTGCCGGTGAGCTGAATGAGAGCGAAGCTAACGCTAGCTAGCCTAGCTTGAGTTAACGAGCATCTGAACGAGAAGCTGTAAGAAAAAAAAAAAAAAAAAAAAATATATATATATATATATATATATATATATATATATATATATATATATATATATATATATACTTCCTCTTGTTCAACATTCTTTAAATGGCATGCTTTAATGAGGGAAGAGATTTATATCGTTTCAGAAAAAGCTGACGACCAGCTGAAAACAGATGGGGGCGTTAGACGGGGGAAATAACTGGGAAATCAGAGCTTCACGTCTTCAACTTTCCTCCCATGTTGTAGTCGTCCTCAGAAGGTGTGTCTCTGTCCCTTTCTCCCGCAACAACCACTGGAGGTGTCCACATGTCTGTACGTAGTGCAGCATCCCGCAGAGGTGAGTCAGTAGATCTCGTGTGTTTATCTTTTGGTTCTATCAGAAGCTTCACGTGGTCATATCTCTTATTGGCTAATTCTCCGAAATAGATGTTATTAATATTTTTTAAGTGGTAGACTGACAGACATTAGTGCAAACTGGTGAATTATGAACTGTGTGTAGTGGGGAAAAAAACCCTCTGGTAATGGCAGCATCATTCTGCAGGGATGTATTCTGAGAGTGGCCTAGTCAAAAGTTTATTTTTTCCAAGCAAGAATCTGTGGTGAGACTTGGAGACAGGCGGTTCACACCTGCTCTCCTTTTACCTCGAGCTATTTTGCAAAGTAGAATGGATAAAGTGAAAATTATGTTTGAAGTATAACAAAATGTGAAGAAGCTGCAAAAAGTCCAAGTTTGTATTGTAGTTGAAGACCTGGTACATTGTTTGGTTATTGAAATATTTCATGTTTTTCTGTTTTTCTTTTAAAAAAAATAAAAAAACGTACCAGATTGTAATATCACACTCGCTGATGTCTTCCATTTTTGCATTCTGCTCGCAGGAAAGCCGAGTACTTCGGACTGTGCCTCTTCTTGCTGCTTGTTTGCCACAGGGAAAATGCAACGTTATAGTAGGAAGGAGGTTTAATGAGGAAAAGTAAGTTGGCTTCATTTTATCAGCCCAAACCTTCCCCCAGAAAAATTGTTAAAATTGCTCATTTGTTTTCTTAATCGTTCTGCACTCAGGCATCCAGAGCTGGCCGCCGTGTGTCGGGACGACAGAACGCTCATCCTGTACCCCGGACCTAAATCGCAGAACCTGGAGGAGTTGGCACAATGCCTGGAGATCTCCGCCGTGAAGCACAATGTGATCATCATAGACGGCACGTGGAGCCAGGCCAAAAACATGTTCCTGAAAAACAGCATGTTCCACCTGCCCAAACAGGTGTGGGCAACGTTTTGATGTAGTTTCGAAAGTACATTGGCTTTTGCAGAAACAATGAAGTTGACATTTCAGTACAGCCCGTCCAGAGAAAGAAAAAAAAGACAAACAAACAACGTAAGACGTGGATAGACGGGTGTTTTTATCAAATATCTTCCTCCAAAAAGTAATAATTCCCAAACATAGCCAAAGTTTGCCGAACTATCAATTAGTTCTAAGATAGAGGTTTCTATATAAATGAAAACTGACTTTAAAAAATTTAGTGTGTTTGTGTGTGTGAGAGAGAGACCAACAATAATTTCAAAACAATCAAAATGTGATTATAGAATTAGCATTTTATTTAGTTTCCAGCATCGTTATGGTAGCCTGATTAGCATTTTCCAGTTTGGTCATTTTACGGAAAAAGCTTGATCTTTCTTTTATTTTATTATTATTATTTTTTTACTTAAAGCATTGTTGGTGATTTAAAAAAAATACAGTGCATTGCTTTTACAGCAGGCTGTCCTGTCAGTGGTCATATCATAAATTATAAATCAGATTTTGCTAGCATTGATAGACGATGTGAAACTATTTTACAGAGGTATCTGAATTTCATTATAGAGTGTATTTTTAATGTGTATTACAACAGGGCTATTAGCAACTGCATCGATTCCTTCTGCTTTGATTCATCAGGTCCAGCTTAACAGGAATCTGTCGAGCCAGTACGTGATCCGGACTCAGCCCTCCAACATCTGTCTGTCCACGCTGGAATGCGCCGCCGTGGCCTTGTCGGTCCTAGAGAAGAACGACGAGATCCAAGAGGTGAGTCAGTTGACAATTTAGCTAATATTTCCTTTTCTTTCTCAAAAAGAAATTCAAATATTTAAATCCTTGTTTAATTGAAAGAAAAAAACTGGTTTTTTTTTTGTTTCTTTTTCATTCTCAGATATTACTGAGGCCTCTGAAAGCTCTATGCTCCTTCCAGCTGCAGCACGGCGCTCAGGTTCACCACAGCAAGGAGCATCTCCTTCGAAACGGCATGTACGACAAACCCATGCCAAAAAACAAGCGCAAAATCAAAAGAATGGAGAAGCTAATGACGGACCACAGCGTCTGTCCAAGATGAGGACAAGGCTGGTGACCGAGTGCAGAGAGCGATCTGTGAAATATCTTTGCACACGTTTTGTTTAAATAATGTAGGACTGCATCATCTGGGTACAAATAACTGGATTTAAAAAAGAAGCTGTTTTAAGCTACTTGTTTCATGTTGGTGATTTAATTTATATCATTGTTATTCATTTTAAATAAATGACTAAAGTTCTACTTAAAGAATCATGTTTTCCAGTAAATCATGTTCTTTTATGGAGGTTTTTTTTTCTAGAAATTGTTCCACATTAAAATATTGTTTAATACAAACCATGTAATGCTCTTACGTATTATGGCAGTCTCTCCTCTATAAGGGCTGATTCATTTATTGTTTTTGCAAAGCGAAGTCTTAAAAGGAATGTATTTAAATACAACAATTACCAAAGTTGTACAAATGTTTGTTTTTCTTTTCAGTGGTCAGGTTATTGCCTGAAAATGTAAATACATCACTTGTAAATAAAGCCTCTTTGACCTTTAAGGCTGTTTCAGTTTTTCATATTATAAGACTTGCTGAAGTTCCAAACTTTTAATTTTAATTCCCAGATTTTTTTTTCTTTAACAGAAAGTACATGTGATGGAGAAATGCCTACCTGCAAAAGAGGCAAAAAACACCAAAACACCTTTATTCTGGTTAGTGCAACATTTTAATGTTGAATATTAGGATAAATGTGATCATTCTAGAAATTGTCACTAAAAGTCATGTGTAACAGGAAATAACCCATAATCCAATGAAAAATATTAAACTATTTTAACATTTAGGATAATATGCGTTATTTTTCATTTTATGTGATAAAGGACTAGTGCCATATATACATGAAATTAGTTGAAAAGGTGACATCTAACAGAAAATAAAGTGCAATGTTCCATTATACATATGTATATTAATAACATTGCAGTTGATGTGGGAAAAAAAGTTGTTTTGTGTTGCATTCAACATACGTAGAAGGAGGATGGATAATTTAGATGCTTTGCATTTGTTTTTGTTTTTTTCAAACAGAAATCTTGACAGGAAATGAAACGTAGCAATAAACGTGTAATTGTTACACTTTTAGTTGTTACAATCTGACCTTTCATTGTGCAACATTTCTTTTCCTACTATAGAACAGGTCAAATGTTACCAAGTATTATTGACTTGAAAATATTTTTTAAAAATATTGTTTTAGCGCAAAAACAACAACAAAAACAACAACCCTAACACGAAATCTACATTTGCGTCCAACTCGCCTTTGGCTGAACTGTCGCGCATGCGCGTTTGGAATCGGCCCCCGGTCGCTCCGCCATCTTTGTCGGCAGCCCATTGTTCACTCCGAAGGCTAACAACGGTGTCAAAACCCTCTACACCTCGTATTAAAGTGTCCCGACCGTGTCACCGACAGCTGACCGCGACTGTCGTGGATTTGCTCACAAGGTCGCGACTTGTTTTCGGCCACCAAGTGAGACATAATGGACGACGAGCAGCCGAAAACCCTGTAAGTGTATGACTGCGTTGCTCTTAGCTAGCCGCTTGTGTTCGTCACACAACGTTGAGCGGTACATGTAAATAGGAACGTCTCATAATACCGGTTTTTGAACGAGAATCAGTTCTGTGAGGTGGAGCTGTCCAGCTGGTATCTCGGTAGCAACAGCACATTTTCTGGAAGGTTTACAGTTGATGTGATCGAAACGTTTAATGCTAGCCACATAACTAAGCTAGCTACTTCCAGAAAAATCCTAAAAATACCAATTGGATCAAGCTTCTTCCTTCGAGTACAATGGAAGCGCGTTTTCCTTTTGGGCTTTTGAAAAAAAAGTATATGGCAACGGAAACCATTCCGTTCAAACTCCTACTGTAAGTAAAGGTGCGTTAAGCTGTACTATTTTGTGTCATTCACTCCCGAACAACGGTACATTGATGATGTTGGTCATTGTGAAGGCCAGTAGTTTTATAACATCATCCCTAAAGCCTGGGCTATTGTAGTAGTCACTATTCAACACAATAAACTAGCGAGACAAGCAATATTAAATGCATTTAGTCTTTTTCTGAAATGTTTGGTGATGATCTGTACAAATATATATATATATATGATTATGTGTCAGTATGGGTTTGTAAGCAGCTTGCAGCACAGTGGGCTTGATTTTAGCAACTATATAAACTGTTTTTTAATTTGAAAACCGTACCAGTGTTCTTTAGGGTTGTGGAGTTAGTTGACAAACAGAAATCAGTTCAAGGTTAATGATGAAAAATCAGCATGCAGAAACTACATTAAATATTATGAGCATTATCTGTTTATGGAGTTTAATGATTTCTGATGATTTCGTTATTGAAAGGAATGCTTTGTTTTGGGTCTTCTGTGTAAATAAATGCAACCATGAATGTTAAATTGAACGTTGTTTGCAACTGTGGCAAAAATCTATTTATTGGAACAAAGCGGGGAAAACTAAAATGATGTGGCGAAGTTGAAATTTAATATTTTGGTTGATTTCAGTTCTTCATACTGCTATTTATTTTTTCTCTCTCCCAAATTCCCAAAGATTTATTTATTTATGTATTTTCTTTGCCTCTTGGAAGCTAAGAATTTTAGTTTCATTTGGAATTTATTATTTAAAACCCAATTTCTTCACTTTTAGCATCAACTAAGTTTTAAAGACTACTTCACCGAAAGCATTTTTGTATTTAACAATTTTTCCACATTTTATATGTATATATGTATTTAACGCCGTATCTAAAAAGGAAATGGCTTAATATTTATAAAGGATTTTCATACTCAGTGACCTGTTGGGTGTTAGGATCTTGCTGCCAGCAGATTCCTACATAATGCAATGGGAATAACTGGGTCAGGACTTTCTGTCCTATGTTTCTTAGTGAACACAGATTCTTGAGGGGTGTTAGCAGAGGGGGATTTATAACATTATAGCGTAATTTATAAACTGACCAAAACATCATTTTTAACATTTTACCCCACTCCTCTTGTAAATCCTCGCCTCAACTTTTTCCGAAAATCTTCCAAATCCAGCGCGTTCCAAGTCGGACGGAGATTAAAATCTCAACACAATCAAACCAGAGCTTGGCTGTAACATGTTCAGCCTTCCTGGTAATCGCTAAGAGCAACTCGCCGCCAGTGGCGGTTTAATAAAACATCCCTAAGGAGAGATGTAGCCTTAAAACTTTGCAATAAAAAGGAAATAAAGCAAAAAGATGCTAAATGGCTGAAAAAGCTCTTTTTCAAACTAACATGTCTTTTAAACAGCTTTTTGTGTCTTGTGTCTTCCCAAAACTTTCAACCATCTTCCAATCCTCCTCCATCTGCATTTAGCTCCAGACGAGACAACGTGTATACGCTTCCTGCTACCACATCATCGTGAACAGTCACTCATGTTTTCTTGGTGCTGTTTGTGTTTGCGTGTGCAGGTATGTGGGGAATCTGTCCCGGGACGTTACGGAGGCCCTCATCTTGGAATTGTTCAGCCAGATCGGGCCTTGTAAAAGCTGCAAAATGATAGTAGATGTGAGTTCACTTTATTGCATTTCGTCTCACTGGTGCCTTGTATTTACTTCGACTGACCCTATTCTGATGTCTGTGATGCTAAGCTATTTTTTTTTTCTTTCCCAGCGGCGCGCTAATTACGCGGCCTCCCATTTTTATCGTTTAATTCAGAGCGCATTTGTTGAATCTGTGTCTCTTGTCCACTCCAGACAGCAGGTCACGATCCATACTGCTTTGTGGAGTTCTATGAGCATAGACACGCCACTGCTACAATCGCAGCCATGAATGGTCGGAAAATACTGGGTAAGGTAAGCTATCATATCTCCTTAGCGAGCCGCCGAGGGTGAGGCCGGGCGGGCAAGGTTATAAACAAACAACCCGTTAAAATACGGATTACTTCCTGTTTTCCTGCTCTGCTTCATGTTTACTTTATTCCCTGTGTACAAAATGTCTGAGTTGGGAGTGCTGCTTTAATCATTCTCTCTTCGAATGTTTCAAAAATCTTGAGAGCGTTGCTTAGGGATTTTTAGTCACGTTTTGAGTTCTGCGTCGAGAACTTTCCTGTTTCGTCTTTTAATATAAAATATGCACGTCGGTGATTTTCTTTTGTTTGCTTCCATCAGCTAGTCTTCTGATATTTGTGATTTTATGTTGCAGGTTAAGTGGAGCCTCTACTGTCTTAATGTGTATCAGGTAGAATTCATTAAAGCTAATTTATTGCAGGACAGTATTCAGACTGTGTCCAGACAAAGTAGTCAAGAAAAAAAAAAGGCAGAAATAGGAAAGCCTACGTTTGCGTCGCATGTTGCTGCGAAAGTACGTTTTATTTTTAGTTTCTCAGCAGTTTTCTTTCTGATTTTGATCACTTTCCCATCCTAACATTAATATATTGATTGGTGTATTTTGCTTTCTGGGCTTAATCTTCTTCCAAATGAATTCTTGCATCTTTAAAGATCACCAGAAATGTTACTTTTCACCTCTCTTCAATCAAATTAAGAATGAAATACTTTTTCATTCCTCAACTTCATCCTTTCACCTTTTATACCCTAACACCTCACCTCTGTAACGCTATAATAAAACTTAATAATGTCCGTTCTTCTCATGCATTTAGAATATTTTCCATCCTTCCTTATTTACATTCAGAACTGAGTCGAGGTTGTTTTTAAAATGATTCACAAATTTCAATTCAGTTTGTTTCTATAACACTAATACACAACATGACATCTCAAGGGAAAGTTACAAAAAAAAAACCCCAAAAACTTCAATCTATTACATCCCAATTGATCCAGCTATCAAACGATGCATGGAGTTCAGCTTATTATTCAAATTAGTTTCAAAAAGTGCAACATCTAGTTAAATCCAGCATTCACTCCTCCTGGTCAAACGTATAGTGACGCCAGACGATCCATGTCGTTGACTCGACAGTAATCCCTCCTGCAAAGCATGAATGTAGCGACTGTGGAGAGGAAAGAGGAAACCTCGGTGCGAACATCTATTGTTGGCAGGTTACCACAGTCAAAACGGAACGACAGGCCGGATTTAACGTCTATGGAGAGGAAAAAAAACTGAGCGAACGTAGAGTGTACAGTTGAAATAAAAGCAAATAATCCGAATTGGAGAATAGTAGAAGAAGAAAGTAGCAAAGTGAGGTAAAGTGGTCAGAATATCCGCAGCACAACTACAGAAATTAAATTTTACAAATTTTGAACAATCCTAAGCATTTTAGATCTTACTCTGAACTCCTTAAATTTCCTAAACATCTCTGAATCCATTATTACATGTTATGGCGAATGTGGATCATCTTTTAACGTTTTTACCTCTTTTAATTGTTAAAGTCTTGCTCGCTCATTCACAACTGCAGACTCTGTGTAACAGAAACCACAATTTTCTTGAAAAAAGCTTGCATTTCTAGTTGTTTTTTCCTTTTTCTTCACTCAGACATAGCATTGGCACAAAGAGTGTTTGCAGTAACCTGGTAGCGCTTAGCTTGCTGTGTCCACCGATTGGGGTTTTAATCGTCCAATCACTGATCGGGGCATATCAAACTGAAAATCGCTCGGTAACCAGATGATTTCTCTGCGTTTGTACTATTTAGGTTATGTTAACACGTGTTGGGCTTCTGTACAGCAGAACATGCTAATGAATACAATATGAATACAGTCCTGTTTTTTCTCTTCATCCTCCATTTTGTCTGTTTTTATGGATTAATTGAATTAAATGTTATTTTCTTTGACCTGATTTTAATTGATGCTCTTCTGTGCTCCCCCCACCCCTACATATTTAATGCTGTGTGTTCTTTGCAACCTTATTTCCACGTAGAATCCACATAAGAGCAATTCTTAAGGAAAATACTTTGAGTTGAAAATATTTTATCCTCAACAGGTATTGAAGGACCATTTGAGGAGTATAACAAGTTCGTAAAAATCACTTGTTTGTAAGTCCCTTGTTATTTGGACCTTACTTCCTACAGTTTTACTCCAAATTACTAGCCTGAACATAATATCCTTTTATGTACTCCACTGTATAGCAATGTCTTAATTGATGCAGGCTATATGTAAAATTAGACAACCATGGATAATTGGTTTGTGTTGGTGGTTTAATAAGTATTTCTGTGGCTTTTCCGAGGCCGTCCTAATCAGGAGTTCTCAATCACGAAATAAAACCAAAAGTAAAACTGGTTGTGTGACCCCCTGCCCCCCACCCTCTAATCAGAGAACAGCAACCCGCTTTTCTTCTTGGAGCGCGTCTCACGTTTTCGTCTTCCCCTGCTCTTTGCGTCTTGTGTCTCTTGCAGGAGGTGAAGGTCAACTGGGCCACGACCCCAACGAGCCAGAAGAAAGACACGAGCAGTAAGTAACTCGCGTGACGACGCTCGCAATTAGTCATTTATACACAGACTTGTACATTTGTATATGTGGAAAAAAAAACCCATTGATTTACACACACACCTAGAATTTCAGTTTGTATGGACAAAACTCCATAAGGTTCAGTGGTTATGATTCCTTTTACAAAACATGCATGGTGCTGTTTAAAATTGAATTTTTCTATTTGTGTAGTTCATATGTGAGATGTTGGCTTAGATTGTTTTTATATTCTAGGCCATATTCCTCTAGGTATTTTTACAATGTTCAATTTTATTTTCTAAAAATCTTTGCTTTTCTTATGTTTTCAGGTCACTTCCATGTTTTTGTTGGAGACCTTAGTCCAGAAATCACCACAGATGACATAAAAGCAGCTTTTGCTCCTTTTGGAAAAATATCGTAAGTTTCTCCTCATCACTACACGTCTGACGCTCTTCCCCTCAAAATATTTCTGCTGCTCATGCTCACAAAGCGCTTGGCAATTTTGAACGAATCAAGAGGAACAGAGAAACTATCAGAAACAAAAGTAGAACCACAAGTTTTGAAAGAAGGCTGTTTTTCTTTCAGAAATGTTAAACTGAAGCTCGGTACCGATCTGAGAATCGGATCGATGGGGAAGATAATTATGAGTGCAGTTCATGACCCTAATTAAAATAAAAGCAAAATTATATATTGTGTTTACTGCCTTACGTTTCAGACTTATTTTTGAATTTGAATTTCAGCTGCATCTTAATTTGATGACATAAGATGCTCATCTGCTCCATTTTCAATCTATCAGCACTTCCTAATACCTCTGAACAACTTCTAATGTGAAACACAAATTATTATTATTATTATAATTAACCTGTTTAATCAAACTGTGTGACTGTGTTTACATGCAGGGACTGTCGCGTTGTGAAAGACATGGCCACAGGTAAATCTAAAGGCTATGGTTTTGTCTCCTTCTTCAACAAATGGGTGAGTGTGTCTTCACTGATCTGTCTGCTGGTCCTGAGCTCCAGCTCTAATGTGCGATCAGCGTTTCTTTTTTTAACTCTCTTTGCGTGTTCAGGATGCAGAGAACGCCATCCAGCAAATGGGGGGTCAGTGGCTAGGAGGGCGGCAGATAAGGACCAACTGGGCCACGAGGAAGCCTGCTCCTAAAACGACAAATGAAAGTAAGTTTGCAGCGATTCACATTTGCCGTCGGTAGGATTATGTGCAAATCGGACGCCACTGCGTTTTCGTTAGTCTTTAGTTTCTAGCTCACTGCGTTTTGTCCTGGACCTTCTTTGTGCGCCATCAGCATTCGTATTTGTCATGTTCTCCTCCATCTTTCATTTATTTTTTAGCAGCCAGTACCAAACAGCTCTCTTTCGATGAGGTGTTAAACCAGTCCAGCCTCAGTAACTGCACAGTCTACTGTGGAGGAGTCACACAAGGTCTCACAGGTGAGCAGCTGTTCGATGACACCATGGTGAAGTCTTGGAAGCACAATTTTAAAACCTTATTTTATTTTATTTTTATTTTACTTCACAGAGCAAATAATGAGACAGACCTTCTCACCTTTTGGCCAAATAATGGAGATCCGCGTTTTCCCAGAAAAAGGCTACTCCTTTGTGAGGTAAACTGGTTTGTAATAGAGAAGAACTGATCCGATATTAATATCTGTATCGGTCCCGACATTTTTAAAAAATCAGATCAGGTGTCCAGGGACACCTGAGCGACTTCATTCTTTATTTATTTTACATTATGTTTAGGATTCCTAATTGTTCTTTGTGAACCAGTTGAAAGAAGGTTTGGTCCACTTTATTTAGACACGTTTGACCAAACGAGTCAACTTACTATTTCTTTATTTATTTATTATGATCGTTATTATCCTAATTTCACCGTCTGAACAAATGAAAGCTGTTTTGACGAAGCTTGAGAAGCTATTGGTGTATTTAAGTGTGTTGGTCCAGAGTTATCAAATGAAGTTTTAATTCAGTACATTTATGTCTGTTTTTCTGTATCAGATCGGTATCGGGCGATACAAAATCTCAGGTATTGGTATCGGAAGTGAAAAAAGTGGATCAGTGCATGCCTAATTTTAGATGCACCTGTTTTAGGCAGAGGATGAACTTTACAGGATGACTTGATATCAGGTAGTACATAATGTCTTAGTTTTTTTTTCTCTGCACAGGTTTAACTCCCACGAGGCCGCAGCTCATGCCATAGTTTCTGTAAATGGCACCTCAATAGAGGGCAACATTGTAAAGTGCTACTGGGGGAAAGAAACAACAGACATTGTACAGGGCCCCATACAGCAGGTACAGATGGCACAGGTAGGACCAATCTTTATTTTTCCTTTAGAAACAAAGAACACAACTTCTGTTATTTCTTTTTTTTTATGTTATTTTGCTCCTCAAACAATCTTGTCTGTATTTCAGCAGAACACGCTGAGCTTTGCAGCCCAGCCCTACAACCAGTGGGGCCAGTGGTACAGCAACACGCAACAGATCGGTCAGTACGTGCCCAACGGATGGCAGGTGCCGAGCTATGGCGTCTACGGACAGGCCTGGGATCAGCAGGGCTACAAGTGAGTGGAAACGTTTTACCAATCAAAATAAAGCTACACCGACTGCCTTTAAAAAGCAGCTGAGAACACGTTGTTTATGATTTATACCACATGTATTCTGTTTGATCTTGTGTGTTTTTAGGTCTTGTATTTGGTAAAACAGTTTGTGGTTTTCCACCTGCAAAAGGTGCTATCTAAATAAAGTTTACTCAGATACTTAATTTCTGTGTTTACCATGAAACTCACTGTAAAAGTCTAATAGTTTAGGCTCTTCAAAGTGAAGTTTATGTAAAAGATGTTTTAAAAAAAACTCCAAACAAACAGTAGTCACCCACGTCTTGTTCTGCTGTGGCTTTTGAAGGCGCAGTACCTTGTAATGCTCCAGTACCGTAATGAAGAATGTCTGGGCGTACTCCAAGTTCAGGCGCTGCTAATTTTACCAAGGAGAGATTCCAGATAACTTGGCTCACAGCTTACAGAGAGAGAGGGCAACTATTAAGGCTTTTAACTTATTAGTTGCCCTCTAAAAGTTCCCGATGAAAGCTTTGCATTTTACAAGTATTGTTGTTTTTCATTTGCTTTTCTGTCAAAGCAAATGGTAGACTTTTCCTTCAAATGAAAAGCATCAGATTTGGATTTGATCTCTTGTTTTTATGCCTCTAAAGTGCCAGAGTATTTTTCAGTCTGTTGTGCCGGATCACTGCTTTGCTCTGCGTAAGGAAATCCACATTTCAGCGATTTTTATATATATTTTTTTCCCGGTCGTTTTGTTTTATGTCTAGTAAAACGTTCAGCACCCGTTTCTAATTGTCGTTTCCTGTTTTAGTCATTTACATGCTGGCGCTGGATGGACGGGCGTGGGCGCCGTGAGCAACGGGGGCATGGTGGAGCCCGGGCAGGGAGTCAACGGAACAATGCTAACCAACCAGGCAGGCATGAGCACCACTGGATACCCCACCCACTGATCACAGACCCCCACACCCCCACCCTCTCTTAGCGCTCAAGGACACCAGGATTACACTCTGCTGGGGGAAGGAAGGAGCGCACCAGACGTGCTCTGACTGTCACACCACAAAAATTACTCCTAGTGAAGCTGGTCTGCCATTTTCTTTTTTTTTCTTCTTTTTTTCTTCTTCTTCTTCTTTTTTCTTTTTAAACCGGCCCAAAGCCTCACCCACTGCCCAAATCAGCAGGTTGAAACATGACTATATACACATTAAACACTGATAAAGCCACCGCTAATGCACAGTGCATTCCTGGACCCCCCTCCACTCCTCCATTTTTATTGTTTGGTGTGTTCATGGCCAAATGCAAACTTAACATGTTTATTATATTTCTAGCAGAGAGGGTTTAGTTGAAAAGAAAACAAGTGTTACATTTCTGTGTCCTCAGCCCCTGAAAGCCAAAGATCAAGGGCCGAATTTTATATCACTATTTAACGATCAACAGTCCAGGGGAAGGCGGTGAGACGACGAGTCGCGGTGCTCGGTAACCTACAGTATTTCAAACACAGCCGCTCCACATACCGACAAAGAGCTGTTCCTTTTTCTCTCCGTTGAAGCGCCGCCAACCTGTCCGCTCGTTCTCGGGGTGCGCTCTCGTTCATTCTGATGAACCGTGGAGGTCAGCAGGTTGGGAAGGAAACTGGTCACAACAAAAACCTGCAAACAAACGCCAGAGCTTCTTCATACCATATCCTGGACCGCGACCGGAACCGGACGGAACAGACAGAGGAACTCATCTGTGGATAAAGAAGTGTGTGTGTCAGCGTGTGTGTGTGTGTGTGTGAGTGCATGAACTGACGCTTTTACTCACCAAGACTACATCGCCGTCATGTACCCCCCAATAAACCCAAACGGGACTACGCCATTGTATCTTTTTTTTTAATTGTGACGGGGGAGTGGTTTGCTACAAAACTGCTTGAGAAAGATTTTTTTTCTTTTTATTTCCGGGCAACGTTAAATGCTGACATTGTATAAAGAGCTTTCGCCTTTTGTGTTTCATTTCAGGACTGAGAAAACGTTGAGGCGACGCCATCGAATCATGTACACGCGAGATCCTTTTTACGTTTGGACGTGGCTGTCGACCTGATTTATTATTTTTTTTGTTTGTTTGTTTTTGTGTTTTTTTGGAAATTCGTATATATCTAAACAATTGCAGGGATTACTGCCACTCTTATCTTACGTACAGGCAGACAAAGATTGCACAAAAGTTAGTTATCCTTCCACAAAATTTGAAGTACTCTAAATTTTCTTTCTTTCTTTTTTTTTTTTTTTTTTTTTTTTTGCATTCCACTTTTTCTGCGGTTTTTATTTGGAAGCCTGTTATATGTAAATAGCCAAACAGTCTGTTTAATTGTACTAAAGCTGTATAAAGACATGTTGAAGGAGAATGCGTGCTTGCTCCTGGTTGGGGGAAAACGATCCCGGCGCCTGTTGGAAAGTAGCATCTCTGTCCAGTGCTGGTAGAAGCAGAGCAACGTTTCACTCGTCCAGCAGACTGGAGGACAAGCGGCATTGCTATGTAATGCGGAAGTCTTTAGATTAAACTTAAAGAAAAACAAACAAACAACAACAAAAAACAACTTTATAACTTAAATTATTGTTTCACACCATTGTAGTGATTGTTTTTATAGATTCCGAAACCTACTTCTAGCGCTCAAGACTTTTGCAGCTTGTCTCCAGTCATGTCCGTAGAATTGGAAAAATCCATTTTGTTGCCTTATCAAGTTAAGTTACTTTTAATTTAACAAAAATAAAGACAAGAGAGTAGGCAGTGCCTATGAATGTTTTCAGCCTATGTTTTTGAGAAGATGAGTTCTGTTCATGCATCAGTGACATGGTTTGTGTTTTTGCTTTGTCCCATTAAAAAAAAGAAGAAAAAAAATCCAAAAGCTGGCGTTTATAACAGCTCACGTTTACACCGTTTCCTTCTCCTCTTTGGAAACGACTCGATCAAATCGAGCATTTGTTTGTCATTTGCAGCGAGTTTCCCTGAAAACAATCTTTCAAAAAAAAAATGTTTCTTTGACTGTACAATTGAGGGCTGAATCTTCACATGTACCGTTTTGAGGTTTATGGAGCAAGTGGCCACCGAAAAGTTTTCCAGACTTAAATGGAAACTTCATCACATGGTGACAACATGGTGCAGATCCCATTGGTGCCTCGAGGCGTTTTGGTGAACTCACCTTGTTTTATGAAAAACCAGATTTTAGTTTTATTGTTTAAAGGGCTTTTTGGAGTGAAGAAGAAGAAACTGTTCTGCTTTGGTCTCTGGAATTTTCGTCAAAGGATGTTTTTTTCACACCCTATGATTCAGTCTGTTGAAAAACCTCCATCATAATTTTAGCTCTTTCTTTCTTTCTTAAAGTCTCAGATTTTCTCCCCAGTTTTTTTGTGTTTGTTCTGCTGTATCCAGTTCTGGCCCACTTTCGGCTGTCAACAGATTCTAAGACATTTCATTAATCAGCAGATTAAATGGCCCACAGTGACTGTATGGAACTGCTAAACAAGCCCAGACCATCACACCCCCACCTCCATGCTTGACAGCCCATTTGAGATGTTTGTGACAAGGTGCTGTTTCTAGCCTCATCTATAGAAATCACAGTGTTCAAGAAATGTCTTGGTTCCATCAGCTGTGATTTTGCAAACTAAAGGCATTTAAGTGTATTTTTCTCAGAGGGAGGTTTTCTCCTGGTCAGACTTCTGTAAGTGAGGCGTACGGTGTCGGAGACAGAGCCCTTGGGTTTTGTTTTCCAGCAGTCGATCTTTCATCCTTTACAATTTTGTGGCATTAAGAGTTTAGAAAAAACAAAACAACAATTCTCCCTTCTTGTTGGCAAAGTGAAAAACATTAAAGGACTTGATTACTGTAGCTGGGGATCAATTAATCAATAGCTTTATCTTGACGACCCCTGGCTGATTCTTTTTCCTCCCCAATTTGGTTTGATTTTGTTTAATAAGTGACTGTAGAATAAGCTTTTGAATGTTTTGTCCAAAAAAAAGATTACAACCAGGTTAAAAGATTGACAATTTTAATTGTCAGAGTGCTGATGGGCAGAGTAATTTAAATTTTTAATACAGAAAATGTCCTATTAAATATTGGTCCAGGTCATTTTAGAATACATTAGTCATTGGAGAGGCTACATTTATAAAGCTGTTATGGCTAAAAGTTGAATGTTTGGGCTGCCATTCTCACACTGGAGGTAGGTTTCAGCATTTTGTCTTCATTGTACGCGATGACTTGTGAGGAAAGTTGGAAACCGTCTGAAAAAAAAACCAAAACGGGATATAACTCAAACGAAAAACGCCTAACAAGACCTCCGGGAGCTCGGGTTGAAAAATCAACTACATATCCCGTGATCCCTCGCTTCCGAAGCGCACGTCCGCTGTCTGTTCCCCACGTGACACCCGCCAGCCAATGGGGAGGCCCGTTACAGGCGCAATGCGGGTGTCTGGATGTAAGGAGGAATGGCGACGGTCGAGACGCTTTAGGAGGCCAGAGTGAAGCAGAATTTGACCAAACAGAGGCGGATTAGAGGTAGTTCGAGCATTTGTTCTTAAAATATTCATAGCGAAAAAGGCTAGACGGACCGTATGGTCACGAAAGGTTCTGTGTAGCAATTCTGCACAGGCTTGTTGCATTTGAAGCACTTAGAAACATTTGAACTGATGCAAGATCAATGAGGCGGTGTTCTTTTATCACAAGTTCAGGATTAAAGGGGGTTTGCAGTGGTGGATGGGTTTTTACCCCCCACTGACTCTCAGTGACCCAGAAGAAACGCAGCCGGACAATGAATTGTGTGTCACCGTTTAATGATTTGTCTTTGACACCAAGTTTTTAAAAATCACAGCAAAGAGCAAAACTTTTCTCTGAGATGCTTGATGACATCACAAGAGGTACTGAAAGGCATTAACTTGAATTGGTGAATACTGTGGCAGAGGAGACTTTTGGTTCATTTCTATATAGATTCTAAAGCTCTTGAGAGGCAAGAGGTTAAACTTTCGATGCTCCACTTTCCTATGATAAAAGGCGAGTTTGGCAGTGAAGACGAGAATCGTTCTTCTTGGTTGCGTTTCTTCAGACGGAGCTTTCAACATGGGTGATATCATGGACCGATCACAATGTCAGCTTTGTCCCAAAACGTTCCGCCAGAAGGCTGAGGAGGAAGAAGGATTTCATCACTGTGGCATGAAATTAGAGCCAGAATGTGTTTGAGCTTATTTGTTATATGTGCGCCTAACATATTGCTGATTAAATACAGATTTGCAGCGAAATAAACTGAATGTGGGACATTTTGCAGTTGAGGTGGGTTTTTGATTTAAGAGAAATGTTTGGTTTAGAGGAGGCCCTTTGGTGATATTGTTATCAGAAATTGGTCCAATTCCAACCAAAAAATGAGTATTGGATTATATCGACCAACATCTAAAACCTATGATATGAGGACGCTGATAGAGGCTCTCTGATCCAGCATTTCTATACAGCAGCGCTCTTTGTTCCACACACAGACCCATTGGTTAACAATAAATTGGGCAGTTGTTCTCATAGCAATTGTTGAGTATTATTCCCTGGGTATTACCACAAAATCAAGTCTTTTGTAACATTCCACGCTACAAAATAAGTAATAAATATGCACATGATACATCCTTGGCTCAATATCGGTATTGGCCATGACTCAAAGCAGCGATATCAGTATCGTATCGGAAGAGAAAAAGTTGTATTGGGGACACTTGTAGTTTGGCTTAAAGTGGAACCGGCCAATGTAACATTTTAGTCCTATTAAATTGTTTTCTCAACAATTAAAGAGAGTTGTTTTCTCTCTTTTTCAAGGCTTGGTCTTAAACCCTTGAAATGGACAGTGAAGTCATCGTGTCCCCCTCATCGGCCTCCCCTCAAACTCCCGCCACCCAGTCCAGTTTGGCTGCAAAGCAGCGAGAAAGCAGGAGGTCCGCGGCCACAACTCCCGCCTTTCTCTCCAACCTGGGTAGGGCCACCCTGCGGGGCATTCGCAAGTGTCCCCAATGCGGGGTCTACAACGGCACCCGTGGGCTCAGCTGCAAGAACAAAGCCTGCGGCGTGACCCTCAGAGATGCCTCGGCGGCCTGCAAAGGCGGCAAGAAAAGCGCGGTGGAGGTGGTGAGGGTGATAACCGACAGCGACGAGGAGAGTTTCGGGAAGGAGCAGGAAGCCGGGGGCGGAAGTGCGCAGGTGTTTTCAGTGTGCCACAGAGGGAGAGGAACCACGCAGTGGGGCTTCGTGGAGCTGGTTCCCACCGACACGGCCATCGCGACTGGGGATGGAGCCACCCTGCTCACGCGCATCAACCTGGGCCGCTGCTTCCTGCCCTCGTGCAGGCAGGGCGAGAGGTCAAGCAAGCGCGAGCCAGAGTCGGCCTCGACGGAGCCGTCCTCCGACAGCCTCTGCGTCCACATCAAGCAGGCCATTGACTGCCGGAGCCGCGCCACGCCGCTCACCTTCAAGAGCTCCGTCCTGGAGGCCTTGCAGGCTTCCATCCAGGCCAGGGAGGAGCTGTGGCGGCTGGCCACGGAGTCCCCCGGCCCTCTGGTGCAGCGGGTTTCCAAAGACACCCTGGTGGTGAAGTGCCACACGGACTCGCAGCACCCGCTGGGCCTGCTGCATCTGACCGTGGCTCAGACGGAAACGCAGAAGAACAACAGGAGCGCGTTTCACTGCAGCTGCCAGCTCGGCGCAGGAAGGATGAAGCACGGCCCGGTTGGAGCTGGCCCCCTCCCGGCCGCTTCCCAGCACTGCCTGCACTTCTACGCCTGCGTGTGCGCCTTCTCAAGCAACGAGAAGCTGGCCGCAGAATTTGCGGCCTTCGTCAACTATTCTTCAGGTCGGGTTAAGTATGGAGAGAAGAAAACTTTGTGGCTTGTTTTAAAAGTGTGTCCAGACTTTATTTCCTTGTTCTGTTACCCGAAATTCAGAATAAATAGGATCCTTCAATAATTTGTGTGAAATTGTGCAAGTCATCTTTTAACAAGCCTGACAAGCATCATATCAGTAAGTCAGAGCTGATTAATTGTGATTAATTCTGTCACTATGACAACTTTGGCTGGACGATAAATTCCCCCAGAAATTATTGCGATAAATAATAACATTGTTGATTTGAAACAATTTTCAAGTGATACATTGATAACGGCATTATGATGCACATGTGCCCTTTCAAAGATCAATAAACTTGGATTTTCTAAGGAATATTAACACTGGAACTGGAAGATATTTTCAATAACCAGAAATGAAACATGACAACCAAAAGCAATAAACAAAAATGCAAATAACACACAACTTAAATGTACGTTTTGTTGCAGAAAATATTGCGATACACGATAATATTGTGTTTTTTGAGAGCATTATTAAGAAATACATTGATAATGGCATAATAATGCAAGTTTGCTCAAAGATTAATACATTTAGATTTTTAAAGGAATATTTAACACTTGGAATGGAAGATATTTTAAAAAACAAGAAAAGACAAAAAAAAAAAAAAACAATCGATAAAATGGCAATAAAAATCACACACTACCAAAACCATAAATTAAATAGAATATGACGTCTTTAAGCAAAAATTCCCTCCAAAACATTTTATTCATCAGAATGAAAAATATTGACCTCATTTTAATTCATCATTCAATTAACTGGTTATTGCGAAAAGGCTTGGTTGCTGTTGTAATTGAAAGATTTCAAAAGAGCCAAGAGATTAAAATGACAGCTGATTTTCAAAGTGTTCTGTGTTTCCTCCTCAGGCGTGCAGCAGATCTCTGCCGGTGACAAAGCCC